TCCGTCTTTCCGAGATAAATTATCTCGGAAAGACGTCTTAATAAGTATTTATTCCATGTTTCCATGATAATTATCTTGGAAACTCGGAAACGCGGAAGGTCACTTTAAGCTTCCGTATTAACCTGTTAATTAGAGTGAAAAGTGTGTGTCTGTTCGTGAAAACGATAAGAATATTGACCTACCCAGCATAGGTTGTTTACGCGTACGGCGAAGTTGATGTCTCTTCGTGAAAACGAAAATCTATTTTTACACGCTGTATGCCTACGCCAGGGCTGGGCATAAAATTCGGTCGGAAGGCCAAAGTGAATGTTTGATTTAACATCGAGGGCCGCACCCAAACTTTTATGTTTCTAGTGAGCTTCCAAAAACCTCCAAGCACTGCTTTTACACAATTCTCAGTTTTAATGTTACTTTTACATATGATCGGTGTCGGGCCGTAAAAAACATAGTGTTTTCTAGCCAATGTTGCTTTGGCGGGCCGCACATAGGGTTTTTAATTCATTTTCGCAGTCCGCAAAAAAATCGTATCGGACCGTATGCGGCGGCCCGTGGGGGTGGGGGAGGGATCCGCACTTTGTCCACCTGTGGCCTACGCACTCCGTTGTCAGACACAAACTTTGTTTTCGCCTATGTTTCACCATTGTAGTCAAGGGTTATTATAGGCCTAAATACTAGGTTTATCCTGCTAAAACCATTATGTTTTTACAATTCCAGACTTGGTGCATGTGTATAGGTCTATTCCCGGTTATACTGCAAGTAGGGAGGGCCTACCGCTATGCCTAGGAAAGTTATGGAATTTAATCTTTACGTCTAGCCCTACCTCAGACAGGCCTCATTAACCTGATCACAACGATAGCAACGCCGCACGTGCGTCTTCTTATAACCCACTGAAATTTGTGTCTGTTCGTGAAAACGAAAAATCTATTTTTTTTCAAATTAGCTAAATAGTGTAGTTGCACTCTTAACAATTAGTTGAAAAGGTAAAGTTCGATGTACATAATCAAAATTTCAAAGAAAAAAAAATGAAAACTATGATTTTTGAAGTTTGTGTGTCTTCGTGGTGTCGTTGACGATTTGTTTATTTCTTCTTTCTTTGTATCTTCGTTCATCTGTCCCTTCGTTCTTTCATTTGTTCATTTATCCGGGTGTCCCGTTTTCGTTTGTCGGTTTGCTTGTGTTTAACCTTGTTTTAAGTTTTTCGTTTGTTCATTATTTAGCCTGCCCTTGTTAGATAGTTCGTTCGTTCAATCATTGCTTGGTTTGTTTGCCTATTTGTTTGTTGAAAGCAATGACATCGAAAACTATAACAATAGTGATAATAATAATAATAATTTCGTTAATTTAAGCTATTCCCGCAACTCGATGAAACCATGGTCGAGACACTGAACGACTCCCTCTACCGTTATGAAGACATCAAACAAGCAGACGACCAGAAGAAGTCATCGGAACAAATAGCTTAAAAATGCACGTGCGCGGTCGTGCGAACTTTCACGTTATCTACTTGTAGGCACATAGGCCAACAGGCTTGCAGAGAGGGAAGTCCGAATGAATACGGCAAACGGCAACCTATGAATTATAAAAAAAAGTATAAATGAAGTAAATTCTACGTTTTTGGGATGTGTTAGTGAAGTTGATGCAATCCAATAAAATTGTCAAGCACAGTAAACTAGATGGTTTGAAATTCCAGATGTTTGTTTACGTTTAAAATAGTGTATAGGCCTATATATATATATAATATATATATATATATATATATATATATATACACTTATATATAAAACAAATACATTTCCCCATGAAAGGTTAGAAATTTATAGGTTAAGGTTAATTAACATTGTACAAAGGTTAAAATTTTAAAATGGTTAGGAATAGAAGATAAAGTACCTGCTTTGCCCATTTAAAATAAATAGCAAATTAATGATGTAAACCTAAGATATGAATGCATATAGGCCTACATTTTTAATGTGGTAACCCCTTAGGTTAGTATAATGTAAATACATTTGGAGAGAAAATTCGCTGTAAATAGTCTAAATGTTTAAAGCTAAATATAGAAAAGTGACATCTCTGGTAATATTTTTGTACATAACTTATGATTTTATTATTGTGTACACATATTTCGCTTTTATTCCACCTAAAATATTAATCAACGTTATTATTAATAGATAAATATATATTATTGTCAACATCATCAACGTCATATTTATCATCATCATCGTCATCATCATCATCATTATCACCATCATCGTCATCATGATCATGATCCCCATCACCACTCACTTTCTATTCATCTACCAGTCATTCATCCATTGATTCAATCATTGATAGCCGCTCTATCTATTACACACATCTCGGAGAATTGTACGAATCCGTTTGTATTATTGTACTACGTACGGTAGTTTAAGTTTCTCATAAGCCAGTATTAACTGAACTTTGTACAAGGGCGAGACGTTAATAAGCAAACAGGGCCTACTACTATTACTACTACAATCATTATTGCGGTGTGCAAAGTGGTGGGCTGTACGTCTAGTAGGTTTCCTTTACTGGCAAAAGGTATCTTGGCGTGCTGAGTGCTCTAATACCAAAGGTTACAGTACTCCGGAAACAATATCTAGAGCCTTGCTATTAGGTAGTTTTCACCAGTTAATAATTTGGTTTTTGCTGAAGAAAGGTTATTCTTAATACTCAAAGCGAGGAAATAATCGTAATTAAACGATACTTTTTTGCGCCCCCCCCCCCCCCACCGGGTGGTGTCAGGGGGCAGGTCGAGGGGCAGGGAGAGCCCCCGGTCGGGGAGAAAAACCACAATTCGTCGGAGAGAAAAAATGTACATATATTTTCTACTAGAACCCAAAACCGATTAAAAAAGCCTTTGAAATCCTAAATTGTCATATTTTTCGTGGCTCGGCCCCCTGGAACACTTTCGGGAGATTTTGAGCGACGCCCGACCACGCCCACTTTTTTTCGTCGTGGACATCTTTCTGATTAGACGATCATAGTTGAATCTTATGACCATATATGGCCTTGTATTTCTACTGTATTCATATTTTTGTTAAAAATAAACTTCGAGAAAAAAAGAAACTTTGAAAACTATACTTATGTCTACTTAGGCCTATGTAATCATTCATTATATCATTGATTGTAGGCAGAAAAGGAAAGGCTATGTTAAACTTAAACTTCATAAATCATAAGTAAAAAAAGTTGCGGTGAAGGTCAAATATTGTATATTGATAGAAATAATTATATTCCAAATTATAAATAATAAGCAGGATAAAATGAAGTTTATTACTAACTACATGCTGCCATAGGCTTAATAATATCACAACTAAACGCGTATATATGACGTCGTCTAGTATTGCAACTTTACACCAATACTTGACATTAGTTAACCTCGTCCGATAAGAAGTCGGTCGCGACGCACGCCTTCGGCCTGTCATCATGCACAAGCAAGCAGAGATGTGGTGTTGTTTGAACTTAGAGGAATAAAGAACACATACGCTACAGTACCACTTCCGAATAGTAGGAAAACTACAAGTGTGGGAGCGCTAAGGATATTCGAAAGAAATCAGCGCTGTCTCTTATACACATCTAGATGTGTATAAGAGACAGGCTAAATAGTGTAGTTGCACTTTTAAAAATTAGGTGAAAAGTGAAAGTTTGATGTACATAATCAAAATGTCAAAAGAAAAAAAATTGAAAAAATATGATTTTTGAAGTTGGTGCCTCTTTGTGATGTCGGTGACGATACTGTAAGTGTGTATATATTATATATATTAAACAATAAATAATATTATAAACTATGACGTGACTAGGGATACAGTACTGTACCATATCTTTTCTTCCGTTTGTTAAGTGCACGGTAATTTGCATCATCCAATAAAATGCTGCCAAACGTGTGATGTTATTGTTCATAAAGACTTGTCAATCTGCTCGCTGAATGCAGAGAAAGTTGGTGAAGTAACATTTAGTACTTTGTCTTGAATATGAATTAAGCCTTCTATTGCAGTATCCTGTGTCGTGGTCTTACAAAAATAGGCAATGCCGTAGCCAGCTAATGGGACAGTTGGGGCAGTCCCACACGATTTTTCTAATGGGTACATATAGGCCCACATTTTTTTTAAATGGGTCCAAATTATGCTATGCAGTTTTATGCATAAATGAGTCAACTTTTTGAAAAATGGGTCCATATTTCTCATATTTAGCCTAAAATGGGTAAACTTGATGGGTCCAGGTTTTTCATATTTTTGCGTAAAATGGGCCAACTTGTTTTTGAAATGTTTTAGGAGGGGTCAAGAGAATTAAAGGGATCAGTTCGCCCACGTAACCTGTCCTTTTTAAATGGACCTATTGGCACAATAGTAGGGTTGGCTTTATTGGTATTTTATTTCAGAGGCTTTAGTTAGGGTTAAATAAACTGACTTTGAAATTAAATACTATAAAGGCGTTTAGTCGGGAAAACAACCCCATTTGTTGTTTGGCACTCATGTTTTCTTAGCCTATTTACCCCCACCGCCTGGGCTTTATAGCTCTGTTTATTGTTCATCTACCCGCTTCATGTCTCAGCTACTTGTCACTGTATAGGCCTATATTATACTAATGGATGAAGCTATGAAATACTAATAATACAGGATGTTTATTATGATTTGTATGGTGGTATTGCGACACAGGAATCTACGTTATAGTTCCTGCTATAAATACTGGAAGTGTATAAGAAATTGTATGCGGTCCACTTTATGCCAAAGTTTGCAAAATATATATGATAAGCCCTAAAGTTACACTTATGTTGCAAATGTTACCTTTACCATAGTGCCGGAGCACAGTTTAAACCAGGGATAGGCCTAGACCTACTTTCTGATTAGACGATCATAGTTGAATCTTATGACCATATATGGCCTTGTATTTCTACTGTATTCATATTTTTGTTACAAATAAACTTCGAGAAAAAAAGAAACTTTGAAAACTATAGAGTCTACTTATGTTATCATTCATTATATCTTTGATTGTAGGCAAAAAAGGAAAGGCTATGTGTTAAACTTAAACTTAATATATTATAAGTAAAAATAATATCACAACTAAACGCGTATATATGACGTCATCTAGTATTGCAACTTTACGCCAATAATTGACATTAGTTAACCTTGTTCGGAATGAAGCCGGTCGCAATCGCGGCCTGTCATCATGCACAAGCAAGCAGAGATCTGGTGTTGTTTGAACTTGGGTGAATAAAGAACACATACGTTATAGTTGGAAAACTACAAGTGTGGGATTTTCTAAAGAAAACAGCGTTTGTAAAAGGAAGATATTGTGTTGAAATGGGTCAATGCTGTAGCTCAGACAAAGCATGGAGGTATACCTCCATGGGCAGAGGTAAAAGTTGTTAGAATCTTTTTAAGGATACATGTAGGCTTATACATTGCGGCAGTCGTAAGTTATATATGCAGCTGCCTATGGTATAATAGGTAAATGTAAGCCAATCGAACTTGGTATTTAATTATCTTTTTTCTTATTTTTAATGTAAAAGGGATTTCTTCGTTCTATTTCATTCAACTTTGGTCAAGGTGAGTGTCGTACGGTATGTGACTCGTACGGTATGACACTCGCCTCGACAGTGGGAGATTGTGTATTCAGTTCCGCCAGGGAAACTTTTTCAAACAATTGATAAGAAGCTTTTTCATGCCCGATACGATGTTTACATCATTATTGTTCCTCTATTTGCAGGGGCGGATTTGGGGAGGTAAAAAAAGAAAAAAAAAGAAAAAAAGAAAGAAAAAGAAAAAAATGATAGCCCACAACGCCTCAAATGTTATTTTCGGGCGTCTAGAACACAAAAACCCCTGGGACATTGTTGTCTCGATCGGCCCTCGGCCCAAATTTCGCCCCCCCCCCCTTTTGGACATCTCTGGATCCGCCCCTGATTTGAGCACTGTTTCTACCATTACGTGATTATTTATAATGTATTCCATATAGTGCTACGCAGCAACATATACATGTACAGTATATACTGTATATACAACTCCATTCGTTGTTTGGCACTCATGTTTTCTTAGCTTATGATTTTACCCCAACCGTCTAGGCTATAGCTCTGTTTATTGTTCATCTACCCGCTTCATGCCTCAGCTACTTGCCACGTCTATAATGACCCGAATTGAACTTGGTTTGGGAAAATATGTAACCCCATCCTCCAAAAAGCAACAAACATTGTCACAATGTTTTAACTTTATAGATAGGCCCACATGTAAATACGGTACAGCTTTAATGTTGTATATGGGCTATTCTACGAAAAACGAGACCAATATTCATTTCACTGTTATTTTACTTGAAAAAACGTAATACGACCGGTAATTGGAATCCATGAATATCTATTTATTCTGGTGCACCGTCGTAAACTCTACTCAGACATAGTTTACTATATATATTATTGTATTATAATCATTAAAATGAGCCCGAACGACCGGAAAAGTTGATAATTGCAATTTCCCAAGCACTCACCTAATATTTGATGGTAATTTGTTTCAAAATAACAATTAATTTACTTTGGTATTCGTATTATCTTGAAGGGTATGCCTTAACACATCATAATGACACATTATTTTGTAAGACATATGATATTAATGAACAAGTTTGAAATCAAGTATGCTTTTCCTCAAAACACGTGTGTTTTACGTTATCCGCATTATTAATGGATAAATCAGTAAAATAAAACCTCATAGCTGAATTATTGATGAATATTTTGCATAACGTGTTAGTGAATTGAACAGATACAATTCCATGAGACATCGACAATCATCTGAGGTCAACAATATTCCAAACTGCAAAAATTGTAGCGACCTCGTTAAGCATGTATATTAAGTTATCCATATTCCTCATATTGTGAATTTCGTGATCAGGCAGATTAATAGTGACCTTCTGACCCATTTTCCCACGCTCCAGTGGCTTTCATCACTACCGAGAGTAGGCCTACACCGATGTTGGTAAAATCATGGCATATAATATGACAGTGCAGATAATGATTAGAATATCATGTTCATGGAACCGGCTGGCAGTGCATGCTTTAAATGACCAAAACTTATCGATGAATTATGGATACCGGCAGAAAGCATTTTGCTAAGTGTAGACGAACCTGCCCGGACTGGAATGTCCGCTCGCACTTTCAAACTTTCAAAAAAAGATGCAGTTGCATTTGCAAAGTGCTAGTTTCGTTGAATGCACTGACCGAGAAAAGGGATATTAATGCAAATCATGTACAACATATTACGTTATCCGTCTTCATGTCTGTCAACAAAGCATTAATGTGACGGTTTTACTCTTATTCAGAGGCGTATCCGCTAGGGAAGAGCGCGGGGGCGCACTCCCCCAGAAAATTACTTGCGCGCCCCCCTCCACCAAAAATGACGTTCAAGTGGTTAAAATCACCATATATTTGCGAATTAGCGTCCTTCAACTGATCATCGACCACCTCCCATCATCCCCCTCCCACATTTCAAGACTTCTAGACTGCTCTTATATACCTTAAATGATTTATTAGGACCATGGTTTACTTCATTAAACAAAATATTAATTGTATCAGTACTTTGTATACACATTTGTATAAAAAAGAGAAAATATCGTAATTCACATGTGTATTAGGTTATCCACCTTCTGAGCAAGTAGGTGTATTTGTTAGTACATCTAGGCATAGGCCTATGCTGTGTTATCAATCGATATTGAACGCATTAATATTCCACAGTAAAGTTAAATATCGAATTGTCTATTTGCATCTGATTTATGTTTAACTATAGGCCTACAACTAATTCAATTTTTAAGAGTAATTAATTGATAATGTTTGAATTAGCTTGCAAATCTCAGGAAGAAAATACGGTTTATTATATTAATAGTTGATTTTAAAAATAAATACCAAGTATGTTTTGACGGTAATATGACTTTTTCAGTGTTCTTTCATAATTTGACTATATTACCACATGTTCTAATGTGTATTACGTTATCCGTACTTATATATTCTAAATTGATAATGATGCGATCACGTGTGTACCATAAACGCCGTCTCATAATATATAAGTACTCTATTATGTCTAAGTTTAGAAGATCAGTGAATATACAAAGAGATTCCTCTGCTTCCTCGGCAACGCCAATACGGTTCCTTCTGGATCATCTTCATAACTAATTCCCGTTAAATCATCGAGTATGAATACACTCCTTTGTGCAAAAATAGATCATTAATCGATGTATATTTACACATTTGCGACTAATTGCCAGCTGTTACAGTGGAACGGCAACCTAGCATATCACCGTCGGCTTCTGTATTTGTGTACTGTATGTTACTGTATAACCATATTTAATTATAACTCTTAAGTTTTTCTAGAACCAATTCATTAAAAGTTTTACATCATATAAATTCGTAGAATTTACTCGTTATACTTGCTATTTTTATCATTTCAGGCAGACGCGATCGCTTTCGACGAGAGGCGTTGACTGCGCATAATAACTACCGCGTAAAACACGGTTCCCCACCCCTACGTCTAGCGGGGAAGATGAATAGTTACGCGCAAAAGTGGGCAGAACGGTGCGCAAAGTCGGGGCAACAGAAGCATCGATCATCCAACAAGTACGGCGAAAATATTTACTGGTTTTACAACTCATCAGGCCTCCATGGGTTGAGTGGTAAGAACTACGTATCATGGAATTCCAATCCAATCATCACTGAACAATCATTATATTAGATTATTTGAAGTATATGACGGGCAACCGACGTGTTCTAAACGGGGTTTGAAAGTTTACTTTAATGACGAAATACTGCTTGTCGGTGCACATACCGTAAATAAATCTCAATATAAATATTATTTATAAGTGTAATTTTGCCCATGACTTGAAAATGTACTGAATACTCAGTAGGCCTGTGTGAGACACTTGCGAAAACATTACAGATTTGGAAATCGTGGGTTCGAGTCCCAACCGAGAACAACTTTCGATTTTTTTTCGCAGAAAGTGTTTTCATACGTACTGAGTATTCAGTACATTTTCACGTCAGGTTGGCCAAAATCACACCTACATTTGATTCTCCTGACGCAAAACTAAATTATTGTCTATTTCATTACCATAATAACAATTAGTATCCGTTTAAATGCATAACACAAGTTACAAGTCTCCAATAAAACAGCTTGAAACAATTTCAACTACAACAATTCTTATATTGATTAAAATGTCTATATAAACAATATAAGAACGTATACTATGAGTCAATGCAAATTTGAAAGGAAGAAAACCTCTAGCTCAATAATGATTTCCAATTAAAATCTAATACCGGTAACGTAAAGGCCAACTCAGACAGCGTCGGCCGACGCAGCCCGACGCGATTTGTTGTCGCGTCGGGTCTGTGTGAGTTGAACGCAGACGCGATGGTGTGCGTCGGGGGCAGTCGCGTAGTAGAATATTAAACGTGTTTAATATTTCTCACGACGGCTTAAGACTGTCCCCGACGATAAATCGGGTCGGGCTGCGTCGGTCGACGCTGTCTGAGTTGGCCTTAATATAAAGTAAACAATTAGATATTTAATATTTTTAAAGATTGATTAGCTTAACACAGGCAACATATATTTAATATTTTCTCCTAGGTGAACAAGCAGTGGAAAGTTTCTATAACGAAATAGCTAAATATGATTTCAACAAGGGCGAGTTCACACAAGGCACAGGTACGTTCCAATGACGCGTATTGGTTTAAATCTATGTCCACACTATTAACTTTCGTATGACAAATTTGTGTGATGTGCAAATATATTATGAGCGTGATGATGTCATATACACCCAAATAATGGGCATACGCCCAAATAATGGGCATACCACATTTATTTGTCACAAGGTTTAACAATGTTGACAGACCTTAAAAGTGGCTTTCTCAAGTGCTGACGTCAACTTATAATGCTCATTATTTTATGTCATTTCAAAATGTAAACATTTTCATCGATTAGCTGTGAAACAGCGCGTTACAACAGTTACATTTTTACGTGTTTGATGCTGACGTCAAATTTTAATTCTGATATACTAATTTTGTTTATGCTTGTTAAAATGTAAACATTCTGACCTCTCTATAATTGATTGGTTGTTCTGCAGCACGTGTTTACTTTAAGAAATATATGTTTAGTCTTCAGTCTACTATCTAGGCCTACTTAACTTATTTTTGATACCAGTAGGCCTAAATTTATTATGATAGTGTCCATCTTTTTACAGGTCACTTCACACAAGTCGTCTGGAAAGACAGTGTTCGGCTTGGCGTTGGCATGGCCATCAATTCTAAGAAGCCCAATGAGGTGTACGCAGTCTTCAACTATGACCCTCCCGGAAATGTCATAGGTCGTTTCAAAGAAAACGTCTTTCGTCCAAGAAGCTAGAGCTATGAAGAATGATATTTGGAAATACATTCTGAAAATATCTGACCGTGAATCGAAATTTTCAAAAAAGGGATGGTTTTAATATTTGACTTACTCTTTGTGAGAAAAGTAATCTGGCCAATTTTTGTAAGATAGATTTTTTAGAACAACTTTAGGGATGCGATAAATATGCGGTCATCCACAATGCGAACTATTTTGGGGCCTTATCTGTTTATCTTTATAATATTTTTCTATTTTACGTCAGTGTTTGTTTGCTTTACTCGCCTAAATTCTCTTTGTATATACTTCTGCGTCTTTACCATTTATTTTACGCATTATAGATGATTGATTAGTAATAATTGTTCGAATTAGTACCAAAACTGCAAACTTTATCGGCATAAAATAAACGTAAAAATAATTCAGTAAATACAAACCAACTTCCGGTTGCGAATTACAGTAGCTACGAATTACAGTAAACTGCGAATTACTGTACCTAACGAAGCTACGAATTACAGTGCAAATTAGATTTATGCAAATTAGCTTCGTGAGGAACCCGTTTTGTTTAGTAACGTTTCATATTGTTTATATGCGAGTCTCTAAATACTGGAATAGCTAAATTAGACAGTATTTTAATGAAAAATAATGTTTAAACCTACTAATAGGTCTAGTAAAAAAGCCAAAAAGCAGGAAGGTCACTTAATTCAAATGGTAAGAAAAGTACCGTATGCGTATTATTGTATTATTTCGTCAAATACCGTAACCTTTCAAGTTCATTCCAAGAGGTGCGTTCACGTTCCTTAGCAATCTCTTTCATTTAACTAGCATTTTGCAATTATCGTTCATTTATACTTCCAATTTATGTTCTATACTATCTTTATAAGTGTTATTAAAGCTCAATTTTTCAATATTGATAACTTTGCAATATGCCTTGAAAAAAACATCGTTTTATTTACAAGAAATTCCAAGAGTGAGAATTATATCCAAACTCATGTCTCAGTATGAGAGCAACCGAATAGTGGTCAAACACAGTGGAGTGTCTATGGGTGCCCCCCCCCCCCCCAAGAAAAGCTCGAATATTTAATTTAGAAGAACCTTATAAAAATCTCCGAAGCAAAAAAAAAAAAAAAATCACGCTCAAGTAGTTAAATTTTGAGACCTAGCGCCACCTCTTAGGCCTAATTTATCATCGATTCATCGATCTCTCCACTCCCCCTTCTTAAGAATCATAGATACGCCACTGATCAAACAGTGTGAGACTCGAATCTCGATGGGTTGAATAATCACTCACATAATGACTCAGACGGACAAAAACTATTGTTGATGCTACATTTCATATTTCAAATTTAATATAATATAAAAATATCCTTAATAAAACCATGAAAATACTTTTACATTATATTGTTATGATACTTTTAAATTCGTATATGAGGCCTTAAAGGTATAATAAAGTCGAAATGCAAAAATCGAAATTGTATGACAGTGGAATGAAATTATATGCATTGACGGTTCTGGATAATTCCACCTCTTTTTTTACAAATGTCTGTTTGGTATTTATTTTTTACAGTATTCATTTTTTTTGGGTATACAATGGATGTCTGACATACAATTTGAATTGAACTGAATTGAATACTAATAGGCCTATAACCAGGGAGGATCAGTTCCTCTCTGTAACTATATAAACCAAATATTTTGATTTTTTTTTATATGTTGGTGTATCACTCCGAATCGCCAATAGGTCTTTAAAAATGGACAATGACGAGGAGTTGAAAATAAAGTTAACGATGTGCTATTATCTTGTGTTCACTATTGTTAATTTTATTCACATCTAAAAGCATTTGTTATTTTTTAACTCGTATTATTTTTATTTTTGTGAAAGATAGCATACTACACTTAAAAATAGATATATCCTAATGTGCTTAGGATCTTGACGTGACTTAAATGTGCTTAGGTATTTGACATCATAATGTCAAATACCTAATGTCAAATACCTAAGCACATGTAATGCTAAACACGCCAGAAACCAAACACATTAGGCTGGGCCTAAACACGTTTAGTTTTTAAACGTGTCACCAAAGACATGACAACATTGCGTGGAGCTTTGCGTTTAAATCCTCCACGCTGTTTTTACAGTGTAACAGTTGCAAATTTAAAAAAAAATCCTAAAAATCTGTAAAACATTAAATTTCATATTTTTAAAGGACGATTAAGTTACAGACTAAAAAATAAAAGAAAAATACTGATATTAGCATAGACGTTGGTATACAGACTACTATAGATAATTAGGTATCTTATTCAATATGCTACTCCACTTCGGTAGAACACCCTCATGTTAAATTACAAATTAAGTTTTCCTACTAGTAAACCTGTACGACAAGATAACTAATTTAAAAAAAATTAATAAATCCAAAATTAGTTTCGTTAATTGCATAGTACAACGCTGTCTTTAGCTCGTGGCACCAAGTAGAATGGAGGCGCGTGCCAACATTCGAAAGGGGATGTTGGCTAGGAAGTTGCTAAATAAAACCACTTCAACCGAAGGAGGCGTGGCTTTATGGTGCCGTCATGCAAAATAATACCGTCTACCTGAAAACATCAGACAAAAAAAAACAAAAAAAAAACGACTACCTGTTGGCTTGTGCAGCGGTTGTGCTGGGACTCTCAAACTTAAGGTCGGGTTTTGGAAACTTAGCCTATGTTATTAATATGTCTCTTTAAACCCAAAGCATAAACAGGTAGCTGGTAGGACCTTGTGGCATAAGCGTAGTTCTCATAGGTCAATGCTATTACCGGGCCTATAGGCTTAAAAAAAAAACATACATTACATTGCTATTAAGAGCACACCCTGCGCATTGCGATGGTACATTGAAACTTCTCAAACACTCTACTATCTTCTGGTTGTTGCTATTTCCAATTTTAACTAAAATGTGTGTAGGGGCATAATTCTAACAGAAATTGTGCATTTTATGTGTTTTGAATGATTTGTGCATACGGATCGTTGCTCAAACAAATTCGGTTGGTTTGGGTATGTGTACTTCCGGTTCATCTGCCTCGAACTCTCTGGCAAAGTTTTCAATAGGTACTTGATCCTTAACTTTAGTTCTGGAGTAGTGCGTAAAATATAAAAAAAAAAAACAGACTGCATTTTATATCAACGATATTAATTGTCTAATTCTTGCAGATTTTGTGGTCATATATCGTATTATTAATATAATGATTATTATTACAATATTTAAATTTCAATTACTGCACTAATGTATTAATAATCACAAAGTTTGCCATTATTTTTTATTATCATTACAAATATTATCGTTATTTTTAATGTTGTCATCGTGATTTATGTTTAGTATTACAATCATATTTATATTTAACTTTTAACGAAAATAATTATTTCTTTAATGTCCGTAGATGTATTTAAATTGATTTGGAAGTTGTTAATTCTTAAAAAAACAGATGTTATGATTTCATTCTACGAAAGATAAATGTTTACCCATCATCCAAGCTTTTACTTCCGGACGGACTACGTTTCTTGTACACGATAATGCCAATAATAAGACATGTTATGATCACAGTAGGAATAACGAGTCCCAGGATAAGTCCTAGTTGTTGGTCTGGAGTTAAGCCATCTGATCAGAAATGAAAGAAATAATTAAGCAGTCGAAGAACACATGATGTATCATACTGTACAGTATACAATCAATAAACATTAAAAAAAAAAATTTTTAAATATCTATCGGCAGTATGACGTATCTATAGGCCTCCACGTGGTTAATTAATTGATCTGCAATTACTTCACACAAAAAAATCAACTATAGGTCTATAGCAAGTCATATTTACCGTAACAACCAGTTGTCTCCCCGCTCCAGTTCTCACCATTACATTTTCTAGTGGAACTGCCTCCCATATTATATCCCTCGTCACAGGTGAATTGAGCAACTATAGCATCATCTTCTTCAACCTCAACTGTTATATAACCATGCTCTGTATTCAGGCTACCACATTCACCAACTGAAAGGAAATTAAATGTAGGATGTATACAGTGGCGGCGCCAGCGGGGTGGCAGGGGGCTTAAGCCCCCCACCGGACAGGTCAAGGCCCCCCCCCGGCCAGACAAAGCTCGTCGAGCCAGGCCATAAAACATATAAAAATAGGCCCACACCAAGCCAACACATGTCTGTCATAGTCTGGGAGTGCCATTTTCGGCCATCTAGATGTTGATATTCTTTTAAAAAAAATCTCATTTGGAGGGGGGAACCCCCTTTCAACCCCTTCTCCCAGCTCGACCCTACGAGCTCAAGTCCCCTCTGTCGGACAACTTAGCCCCGCCCCCAGAAAATATATCCAAGAGACGCCACTGGATGTATAGTGATGTAGCCAATCCTGTGTACAAGTTTATGCCCGACAATCAAGAAAGTTATGATTTCGGTTACACCATTAACCGTCAATCAAACTTAAGAACTGAACAATCATATTAGGGCAGGGAATACGCGCGTGTCTCATAAGCACACGTGTTGCCCCACACTTGTTTTGTTGTGGGACATTAGCAACGCTATCCCAATGGGATTGGCTTAGTGGAAAAGCCTATTGGGAAGTTGTTATTAAGAGAAGAGTTTCCAGGAGCGATTACTGTTTCTATTGTGATTAATAAGCCTACTTTACTCCATATTGTATTTCATTATTACTTTACTTCAACCAGTGGCGTATCTAGGGGGATGAGGGGGGTGGGTGAACGGACACGCCCCTAAAAAATTAATCGCGCCCTCCAGTCGCCACCCAAAATCACAGTTAAGTAGTTAAACATCACCTAAAATCACCTTATTTTCCGAATTAGCGCCCCTCAACTGATCATCAAGCCCCCCCCCCCCACAAACTTCACCTTCACACCCCACCATCAGTACCCCCCCACCATCAGCACCCCCATTTCTTTTAGATACGCCACTGCCTTTCAACATATTCTAACGGCGAGTTATAGGACAACCAATACACCATCTTGGAATCTTACCATAGTAGCATAGCTGTTCACCGGTTCCAGTCCACTCGCCATGTGCCTGACAATTCCTTGTGGTACTTCCCGATAAAATGTAATCCTCATCGCAGTAAAACGTTATGCTAGCTCCTACCAGGTGATTGTTTTGTCCACCGACAAATTTCTTATTACCGTTCAATGGAGCAGGAATGTACGGACATGCTATTACTAAAACGTAATTAAAAAGTAATCATAACGTGATTATAACGTAATTATAACGTCATTAAAATGCTGAAAGTGATTATTTTGTTACTGCACTAAAATCGTCTTCAGCAATACTTCTTGAATTTTATGTGTGTGATAGACCTATACAAATCCTGTATTGGTGCTTAAATTGTAGCGTTTAAAAAAACTGGTATAGTATTTCAAGGGAGTTCACCGCTTTTGATCGCACGACAACGGTAAATCTATATTGTAATTACGTCACATAACGTCTTCGTTGAGTTTTTGTCTGAATTCTTAATTTCTGTCCACACAATCAAATTTTATCTGACAAAAACACGTGACGTGCTTAATATGGTCATGATGGCATCACACTATGACCATATATAGGCACATCATGGCTATATATGGGCATACAACTGTTTTTTGAGGGTTTTTTCAAAGAAAATTGATAACCTGGACAGAACTTTAGACGACGTTTGGCCCGAATTTATGTTTTGCATGAGAAAGCAGAACGGTCACGGATGAGTGAATCCGTTATACGTTCACACTGTCCAAATCAAAAGCTCATTATTTGAACGCAACATGCAGTTAGGCCTTCTGTCACATTGTACCTTCTATTGATTTGTTTCTAGCTAGGAAATATTGATCCACCACTTCCTTTGTCGCTTCCCCAACAGCTAGCAGACCGGTTGTCAGTATGTCATATTCACAATACGTAATGTCACCACATACCTTGGAACAAAATTTGAAGATTCAAGTTTTAAAATGATTTTGATAGCTAAGGTACAGTATATAAATTACGTCACTATTTTAAGGTTAAAGGTCAATATCTGCTTGCAATACATGACTATGAGATAACAAAGTTGCGTCACTATTTTAAGGTTAAATACATAATACAATACAATAATGTTATACAGTATACAGAAGATGGAATTACTCGGCAAAACTGTAAACTTAGATAGAAACTTGACGACTGGATGTGAAAGCATGCTACGATATTGTAAATAAGACACGAATACACAATAAGTTGCTTAACAAAGTGTAATGTAAAAAAACAAATGTCGAAAACTGTTTAATTTTAAGCGAATATACATTTAAGCGAACTTACCTCGTCTATTTGCGAGTAGATGTTGCTGGGTATATTGGTAGAGGGTGGGTTTTCAAAAAGAGGTCGAAATGTTTCATTGCGGTAATAGTCATGGCTTTTCCCGGGTTCATAATTGAACAAGGATTCCTGATCTGAAACTTCCACTAAACACACATATCATTATCTTATTATATATTGTGGACCCATAGTTTTTACAAATTTCTTCAAATGATAAATTAAAATGATAGGCATATTAACTTTGGTAAGACGAACATGAATTAATGTTTTGAATCAGTCAAGGAAAAAAAATATTCATTCATTAATTTTATTCATTTATTTGATCAATATTTAAAATATAAAACAATGGCAGTATAAAACTTATTTTGTAAAACTGTGGAAAAGATACTATAACCAGTTATCCATATTAATTAAGAAAAATTAAATAAAGATATTTAAAATTCAATCTTATTTTAATCATTTATCTTAGGCCTATTTATAAATAAGTTTGAAAGACTGAACATCAGTCATTAAAAGACAATAAATAAATATAAAAAAAAAACCATTGCAACTTCATTGATCAATTTTGATTACTTTTAAGTCTTTTTTGAACACGAATTTTTATGCGTTTGACATAATGCCTATTTCTAACACAGTAATATATATCTGGCTCTACAACTTACATTCATCGTTAAGAAAGGAACTAGTTGTCAACTTACAAAAATTTGCTTGAGCGAAAAGATCTTCGTCAGAAAGTCCTCCAGTTCCGAAAGGATCGTTTTTCGTTGAATAGTCAGCGTCTCCAAAAAATCCAGACACTGTTTCCTAAAAATGATAATGCCTGATTGTAAGTAGAATAGTTAACTACACTGTAACAAATAAATAGATATAACAGTGCTCGAGTAGGAACATGATGTTATAATCGTATCAAGCAATAGTTATAACTAACTGAATAGCGTAATACCAAAATAATGAATAGGCCTGTTAGGAAAAATTTGGTCCGGGCTAAAATCGGTCCCCCGGACAAATTTTAGTGGCTAAAATCGGTCCCCGGACCGATTTTAGCTTGGACCAATTTTGGCGTGACAGGCCTATTTAAAATAGAACTAAAGAATTAAAAAAAAAAACACATGCACCCTAATATCAAACTCAGGCTAGCTCACAAGCGTGATAGAAGAGGTAATAATTGCAGCGGATAGACAAAATAAAAAATAATCAAAGTCAAAACAATTTATAATGTTCCATACATTGTTTAATGTCCAAAAACGAATATATATATTTCAAAATATGATAGGCCTATTGAAGTAAAATTTATTTATATACTATTTTGGTTGTGGTATTAATAGCTGAATATTAGTATAATTTTCCAAATGAAAGACTGCTGACTTAAAGTGTGAAGTACGCAGTGACACACATTTACATTTATGTATCTATATTATTTATTAGAAATATTACAGTACCTCATTGCGTGAAAATTTGACATTTAGTTTCGTCTAAAAATACATGTAGTGTAAGCTAAAGAAAGCAAGTGTTTGTGAATTCGATGTTAATGTTATTTTTTCAACTTAGAATAACAAAATTCAACTTTAAATATTTACACAGCCTTCTGAATGAATTTATTTTTTAGGTATGACGTCATTTTGCTTACCCTAAGTTGTGGTGGCAGTGTTACAGATAAAGACATTAGTTCAGGAATTGCAGAGACTTCTACACTTATTCCAGAGTCGAATATAAATATAACATTTGTAATATTTCCTCCGGTGAAATCCGCACCAAATACCATTGAGACACCTGAAAAACACGATATTGGAACAAGATTTAATAGATTTTTACCTAGGCTTCTTGAGAGTTGCTATCTAACCGTAAAGATTATTTAAAATGCCAGTTGTACGAATTAATATGGGTGAGGATGTCATATCACAGCCATGGGTAAATCACAGGTAATTGTGTGTGGACAGTTTTAAGCTGCATTCACATCGGATTCGAACAGAAATTTGGATTGCCTTTCCGATGCGCTAAAACGCCAGCGTACCTATTCTTGCACACTGATTCGATGTTTCTGATCTCTTCGGCAGGCCTTTTCAGCAGTGTCAACCAAACTATCACACAAGGTGGACATCTTATATGGATGGCGGTATAAATACTTTCATGATGGTATAATGACATAGTACTACGCGCTTGTCCCACAGAACCACGTGTTTTGTGTTACATTAGCAACAACACCAAAGAGGCGGGGCTTATCGGAAGGTCCATTAAAACAATATTCAAATACCTTTAAAGTCAATCCATTTCTGACTTTTAACGTCGACTTCATTCGATTTTCTTAATATCTTCAAGACTCCGATTTTATTTAATTCAACTTGTATGACGTCATCAACGGCTGATCCTTGCATTGCAATAGCTGTGAGTACTGTTGCCTGCTGAGTCTGGCCTGGAATTATCATTCAATATAAACAATGATAATAATGATTATAAATAAATATTATTAATAATAATACACAACTTTTAAATAATAGGCCTATACACAGAACAAAGGCAATTTAATTAACGTGTTACAGGTGCTTTTGCTATGTATGTTCATGTATGTGGAGAAATAAATTAAGCAAACAAAGAAACAAACTGGTTTTAAGAAAACTAATCTATTAAATATCTTTTTATCGATGGGTTACTGAATTATTTCGTTGGAACACTTAACTAAATAATTGTATACTAGGTGTATAACATTATACTATATTAAATGTATAATTTTGTATTAGGCCTTATCCCCTGGCCATTGATGGCTCAAATGCCTGCATGGATACAGTACGTGAAATAACACTAATTTGTAAACACTGTTCGCCTTCCAATTCGAGACCACTCTGGGACCTGAAAATTTGGAGTGGTCTCAGGATTTGGTCCCCTTTGAGGGTTAGCTTAGTATTAAAATATTGGCGATTGTTATTTGGTTCTTCTGGAAAATGGTCTCGAATTAGAGGGGTCTTGGAATTAGAATGGTCTCGATTTGGTGGGTGCACTGTAACCGCACACAATGATTTTAAAGAAATCATAGGCCTACCATTGTAATTCGCAATCTGCTCCATACGCCCTTGAATTTGTAGGCCGTCACTGTCAGTGGAAGTCAGAAGCATGTATTCTCCTTTAAGATTCGCTGTGTAACCAAACCCATCAAATGTGTAGACATGAGGATCTCCGAAAATTGACGCTGAAGGAAAAGAAAAAGAATTCTAGTAACTGTTAAACCAGTTGAGTGTCTGGGAGTATTAACATGGAGAAAGGGGGTAGGGGCATGATGCTAAAGTCAAAAGGAAATTCCTTACAGAATGTAAGGTAATCTTTGACCTCATGAGATTTTGTTATACTTAGCAATTTTCTATAACTTAAACCGGTTCATTTATATTGGTTAATTTAAACCAGTTTATTTAATAAATAATAATAATAATAATAATAATAATAATAATAATAATAATAATAATAATAATAATAATAATAATAATAATAATAATAATAATAATAATAATAATAATAATAATAATTTTGGATTTAAATAGCGCCTCACGTTGACACAAACTCGAGGCTGTCTCTTATACACATAAAAAAACCAAAAAAAAAAAAAAAAACCAAAACAAATGCAAATGAACCAAAAAATTATTATCAAGTATTTTGGTTTTAGTTTTTTTTTAATTGGTTTACTTAAAACCGTTCTTTTAATTGGCTTACTTAAAACCGTTCTTTTAATCGGTTTATTAGCAATTTTCTATAACTATATATACCTGTTAACTTAAACTGGTTCATTTAAATTGGCTAATTTAAACCAGTTTATTAAACCCGTTTTGTTTTGTTTTTTAAATCGGTTTATTTACTCTGGTTTATTTAAACAGGTTTAGGCCTATTCAAACCTGTTTTATATAACGGTTTATTTTACCAGTTTATATGGTTTAAACCTTTGTATTTAATCAGATTTTGCCGTTTTTTTTAAGAGAGAAAATTATTTTCACCATGGGTTGGCGGTAAATATTTGCGGCAATCTGCTGTAGGGCGGCGTTCCATATACATCCAGCAATCGTCAGAATTGTCAGTCCAAATACAACAAAAGTAAAATGTAATGACGTCATCCACCCAATGTGATGCAGCCGGTACCTGTGTAAAATATCATAATTATTGAATTCAAATATTTTAACACAATTGTTTTTACAAAAGTACACATAATTTAAAAAAATACAGGAATTTGGTGTATACCGCGCCTTTTGCCAAGGGATACAAGGCGTAATAAAAGAAATGAATAGCATTTGGCGATTTGGCGGTTACAACATCAAAAAGAGAAAACATTTAATATTTATCATGGAAGAATTTCATCCTGTTCTGTGTATATAACTATAAATGGTTTTTCATTTTATTAGACCCAAAGAGATAATAATAAATGCAATTATTTCAGTGACGTTTATGGTTCGATCTCTTTGGTTCTAATAAAATGAAAAATCATAAACATTTATAGTTTTTTAATGTATAAATGACTTACCTTTCCTCGCGTGCCATATGGCTCGACACCCCAGGGATGAGATCGATCTGCTGTACTCCCGTTCATTGTATCCCCAGCATACATAAGGTCCCCTTCTTCGCTGTAACAGCACTGCACCCCAGCGTTGTCAGACCTGTGTCATATAATTCCGAAAAATTAGTCCTTAGTAAAATTTATTCCTCTAACCAGCGGGAGATTCAGGAATTAGAAAAAGGGGAGGCTCTGCGGAAGGCTCTTATAGATGGAGGGTACAGACGACCTCAGCCACACCGTGGTTGGAGCTGAGGTCTAAAGTTGTATATGCATCTCTAGATTAACGGTAATGGAACTTACAGACTTAAATTTTAATGTAATATTTTTTCTTCATATTAAGCAAAACATTAGAGAGTGGGGGGGGGGGGGTTGAATTCGAATTGTCTACCAATAAGAGACCATGCAATCGTACTGCCATATAAAAGAAGTCTTACGTGGGGAAAATACTGCGCACACAGTGTACGGCCCCCTGATGGTACGTGCAGACGCTCCCCTCAAATATGCTGCACCCTGTGTCAGGCTGAAAGCTAGCATCGTCAGCCAACGCTTGGTCCAGTGTGCATGGACAGCTGGGTAAGTTTTCGATGTAGTCTGGTGTTGTCTGGTCGGCCAGGTACCAGTCTAAGCACGCACTTTGCGACCAGTTTAACGATGCTTCTTGGTATGCTTCTTCCAACAGATATCCGAATGCGTGTATTTTACTATAGAGTATAGGATCCGATCTGTGGAATCAGAAACAGCAGGGCTATCATTCACTGATATAAGTGCTTTTCCGCCTAGACTAAAGCAGTGGCGTAGGCCTACCTAGGGATGCACGCCCCCTAATAGGAACTCCCCTCCAGTCTCCCCTCTCCCCATGGAAAATATCATCTTATTTGTGAGCTAGCACCTACTCACTTACTCATCTCCCTACCCACCCCAACACATCACCTTTACCCCAATTTTAGATACAAAACGAACCTTTTAAAAATTAACACATTAATACGACACAAATGATATATTGGAAATTGTTAGACTTACGAGGAGCCTTTGACTCGAATAACGCCGAACGCATTGTGTTTGGAGACGTTGGCCATTGCTGATGGGGTAAATGAGAGCGAGCCATCGTTGCTTTCCTTCCTGGCGATTGTATATACAGTCTCCCATTCAGGGACGTCTCCGTCTTCCCTAAAGACAACATTAAAATATATATAACTGGAAGTACTGTGTAAAACGAAATATTAGAGAAAGAAATATAGACTTTGAATTCCCATGCATCACAGGGTATACATTGTATTGTATTATATAGTATATTATATTATATATCATAATTATTATATATTATATTATATTAGGCCTATATTTAATTGTACTGTGTATCATCACACAATAATTCAAGCGGTGAAATCGTTTAATATAGGCTGCTGTTCCAATATTCAACGAGTTCACCGCTTGAATTCATTGCATGCTGCAGCGCGCTGTTCCAATTAACTTTCCACTAAACCCCGCCCCTTGATATTGTTGCTAATGTCCCATAAACATGTAAAAGCATACGCGCACGCGCGCGTTTGTGGGACGACGCGTGTGTTATTAGGACATGCGCGTATTCCTGGCTCTGTTTTAATTGGTCAGTTTTTAAGTGTGATTTAAATTATATTTAGGAAATCAAAAGAATGCAGAAAAGACAAGTTCTACGGTGGGGCTTATGTTTAGCAAGGGAAGGAAACAGGTTTTACCAACATAGTGCTTCATTGAATTCATTTTTCTCATAAAATAATGTTCTAAGTTACCGGTAAGCGAGTACTTCAGCTGAAACATCTGAAGCAGCAATATCATCAGCATCCCACTCTATTGCTAGTTCTTTTCCAGAATTTCTCCAATTGTTGCTCTGAGAATCGACCTGAGTAACACCATACCCATTCAAAGCAGCAAATCGCTCGGATTCAACTTAAACATGCACAGAAAACCAACCTTTTAATTCGTTTTTGATTCAAAATGCTTTAAAGGAGAAGTATACCAATTTTATATAATTTGAGAATTGATTTAGCATACTCAATACATCCAACTTTTTAAAAGTACGAATCTCGTACACGTTCGTTACGTAGACGGCGCTCCAAACTAAATTTGTTATGACGCAGCAGGTCATCGCTCTATCATAAGCTTAGCGACAGGTCATTGTAATGCATAGAATTAGGACGATTTTAGACGATTACTTCTTGCCTACCTGGGCCATTTTATATATATTTTTTTATAAAATTACAATGATAGTAATAATACAAAGAATTTGTCTTAGAACCAGACCATTCATATGCTAAATCACTTCTCAAATTATATAACATTGCGAAACTTCTTCTTTAATATAAAACACTAATTAAACGTAACTGACAATTTGTTACGCTTACTAATTGGTCAAATTTATAAAATGGATTGTTTTATTACAATACGTTTTATGTTTATTGTATTTTTAGATAGATACAAATGATTAAGTAAATTGTAGTTACCAATGGCAACGTTAGCTTCGAAAGTCACCCCGGTTAAAGTTACACTGACCGTCACGTCCCCAGTCACGAAAAATGGTTCTTGTGGAATACAATAGGCGCGTAATTGGCTCTCGTAAGTCACGTTGGCAACTTGCAGGGTTACGTCATCACGAACAAATTTACATGTCATGTCGTCATCAGTCCAGCATTGGCCAACAAGGTAGAGTTTGTCACCGCCAATCATACTTATATATGGAGGATATACTGATGATGCTGGAAATATAGAACAACAGCATCATTATTGCTGTCTCTTATACACATCTAGATGTGTATAAGAGACAGTTGTTAGACTTACGAGGAGCCTACCTATAAGCTGTTACGTACCGTACCATAAAAATAAAATTGACTCCACTATGTGTGGACCCTTTGTGGTCGAGACGGTATGACGCTTGGCGCGCAAGCGAAAGACTGCGGGTTCGATTCCTATCAGAAATTAACTTTTGTTGATAACTATGTTTGATATGATTTATAACATGATGTTCCTCTGTTCCTATATATTTGTGCACTATATTATTATCTATTTCATTTATATCATATATATATATATATATATATATATATATATATTATATAGTTATATTTTCATTTAAGACCGTATAACATTACGTTTTATGTACAGCATTTAATGGCAATAATTTTAGGCCAACTTACTTGGCAGTGAGCATCCGGCTTTTTGTACTTCAGGCGCCACAGAATAAGCGAATCTTCCAGCTTCGTCACAGTTTGTTTTGGCGGAGAGCGTTCTTTGTGTACTACTAGGTTTACGGGAATAGTCGGTTACAGTGTAATGTCTTAAGCCATCCCCTGCGTTAAATCCAATCTGCCAGACGTGATGTAATTAAAATGAGATTTATTAAATTAAAAAAACCTCCGCAATATTCTTAAACATGGTCATTGCTTCGGTTCTATATATAACAACAATGGCTGATTAAATTGGAAGTCCACCAAACCACGTTATTGCGCGACGTACGTACATCAATTTCGGTATCACGAACCAATAAAATAAAATTGAATGTGGGATTTTTACATTTTCAACTAGTATAGAAAGGAGTATGTGATCTAACAAAAAAATTTATACTAATTATTATTATTATTTATTATTCGTATATATATATTATATATATGTATATATATAATTCTAACAATGTAATCTCTTCTTAAAATATAAAATTGGAGAAAGAGAGAGAGAGAGAGGGGTGGGGGGTGGGGAGAGAGAGAGACAAGAATCCCGATGAATTTATATTAAAATAATTATATGTGACGTAAAAATGCACTTTATGAATATTGGATAATATGCAGCCTATTGATGGCAGCAAAATGTACAGTAACTGTACAATGTTTACCAATGCAGTCGTTCCTCCTAGACCTGTATTCGAATTCCCTCCACTGTCAGTCCCTGTTGTCCATGTAATGGTATCGTAAATAAACAACACATACGATCTGAAACCATCAGTTGTAAGAACTGTCTGAAAGGTGTTTGTCTGTCATGGAAAATAAAACACACCTTTACATAAAATTAACAACATTAAAACATTTAATAATAATAATAATGATAATAATAATGATAATAATAATAATAATAATAGTAATAATAATAATAATAATAAAAAATAATAAGCAAAAAGTAGCCAATATAAATATGGAAAAATATGGCCTATGTATATACAGTAAATAAATACAGTTAAAACAGACATGTGATAAACATATTTAGACATTTGAGTAATATCCTACTGCAAAAGGTATGAAATAGTTGAGAAATCTGGAGGTACGGTGTAATCCCTTTCCTGAGTATAGCCATTTAAATTCATTAAAATGTGGGTGGTTTCTATCTTCTAATATTGCAATGGTTTTTTAAATAAATTCTTTGGCAGCATAGGTCTTCAAGAGAAACCTAATAATAATAATAATAATAATAATAATAATAATAATAATAATAATAATAATGTTAGTATAAAGCGCTTAACACAAAACAAAATGCTTCTAAACGCTTTACACAAAATGAACACAATAAATGGAATGAAACCATAAAATATCCTAACAGTAACCAAATACAATAAAATAAAGGATACCAACTAAACGCGGAGGAACCATTTCCACCGCTCCATTTTCCAGCACTTTGAAACTCCCATAATTGAGAGCTCGCCGGAATAAAACTCACAGGAGCTCGAGTGAAAATGGCGTCTGACTATTTTAGTAGGACTATTAAGTTCATCTGTACTCTTTTTACATAGTTACTAATAAGTATTGTATTAAACTGTATTTATATTATCATCGGGTTTTCAGATTTAATACAATTATAAATTCTTGTACACTTAATAACAATATGCAACCCCTTATGCCCGTGTGCTAAGGGATTGTGTTCCAGTGGTTACCAGAATTTGATTTATGAAAAATATGTTATATAATGGTTTGTAAATGTGATTTCCAGTGGGTGTTTGTAAAAGTAAAATGCAGTAACCCTCTTTGTTCATACTTTAAGTATTGTGGATTTTATGATTGAAGCGACCAAGATACATTATTGTGTTTTATGTCATAATAATCGTCCCCCAAAGTTTATTTTAGGCTTAAATAAAATCAAGATCACTTACAGGAATAGTGTCAGGGTTATTTGGATTGTATCCATTAAAAGTTACCCCTACCCAAGTGACAACGAAAGCCCAATTGGCCGTGAAGTCACTCGCAAGCACGAAATATTGTCTGATGTCGTCCGAGACTCTCTGCAGAGTGGTCTGTGTCCGGTCTTCTCGGTAATAAACTGAACCGATTGAGGTGGCGTCTACATTTGCCCAAAATGGCGCGATAATAATTCTCTCGTCGGGATCCTCGTCGTTGTCATTTCCATCCTAAATATTTAGATAAAATAGTTAAAAACAAGAACTCGAGGTACATGAATGGTAAAGTAACGACGGATCGATGGAACACTAATCGAAAATGATGACGCCTCCACACTACACTGGGCGATGGGTTAAAAGTCTAGTCCTTATCCCGAGAAGATTTGGTTCCACGCCACCATCCCCACCACCCCATTCACAAACCATGAGATTTCTCGTACTATGACCAATGTACGTCGGCTCACGAGTTTACGGCACCTCAGCATAATTTGTCTCTGACATCGACATATATCACATTATATCCAGTGTCGGATTAAAATGGAGGCCCCACCCTAAAGTTGACATTTTTTTATGATATTAAAAATAAATTATATTCAAATTTCAAATGAGTACCATTTTCGGCCATCTAGAGGTACCATAATCATAAATGTTCTTACCTCATTTAAAATACAATGACAAACATGGTTAAAAAACAAGCATATCCTACAATGGAATTGGCGGGACCCAAAAAATGGCCCTGGTATCAGCCACACGGAAGTTGGGGAAGGGGATTGGAGGAAAGAAGAAGGGAGGAGTGAATGGGGAAAATAGGAGGGAGAATTTAGACATAGTCTATCATAAATAACAATGCGACTTCTAGATTTCAGATGCAGAGGGGTGCAGATGGTGCGATCGCACCCCCCCCCCCCCTAAATTGTATTAAGAAAAATAATTGTTGTATTATATTATTGATATGGATTAATGGTAACATTTTTAAGGTATGAGAATGCAATTTTCGAGTACCTGAGGTTCATATTTTCGTGCCTCAGCCACAGCCATGGTGGGGCCGGGCTGGTCTGGACTCTCACGTACCCGCTACCGCCAAATCCTGCATCCGCCCCAGATGTTATCATTTTGACAAATTACAAATAAAAAAGCTAATCTAAGTTCTTACATTTGCAGGACCTTGTGGAAAAACTAATGGAATATAAGAATATTCACCAACTTCATGCTCGAACGAAATGAGTCCATTTTCATTGACCTGCAATGTAAATTAAATTTAGTGAAATCCGTTCCATTAAAATACAAGATATTGACTTATACCACGGTACTAATACCATGGTTAAATCGTTGGCATTAAATATAGTTTTAGTTGATGTTGCAGTATTGTAACGCAAGGGAAAATGTGGAAAATAAATAAATAAATCAATCAATCAATCAATCAAAACGTTTGTGTCTACTTTTAATCGCTGTCCTTTAAGTGTTTATGTTACTTTTCAACCAAATGTTGATGCAGTATAGGTCAGGCCAAAATGAAGGCTTAGAATAACTCTAAGTATAGAATTAGACTTCGAATGTTCATGAGTATATTGAAATGAATAAGTGTGAGCTCTTAAAAACACATTCGTCTTACAATATTGCGTGAAATTAATTTCTACAGTACATCAAATATCAACCGGATCTAATATAATACAATGACAACAAAGCAAACGGTTATTGTTTGATATTATTGGTTGTTAATTTTTTTAAATTTTTTTTTTTTAGTTTCACATTAAGAGACAAGAGCATTGTTGATATTCTTGATAAACTGACATAAATGATCCAATAGATGTCTTGAAAAAAGGGAAATCCCTCATTTAATAAAATTGCAGGCGACACTGCATCAGTTGTTGTCGGTAGAGTTTGATCTAGCGAAGTACCATACTCGTACAGATCTGAAAATAAAAGAGATATACTTGTTGCGATATAACTCATATATTATAGGCCTAATTTTTATTTCTGGGCGAAATAAAACTTGCTGATACATAGGTTACTGCAAGATGCAACGCTTACTTTTAAACTATATGGGTTACTAGCCTTAGTTTATATTCAGCACCATCGTTTTCAATATCTGGAGGAGAACCAGTGTGTACATAGGGCATAGTTAGCCGAGGTGTAAATAATTATTATTCGCATGCATTGTAAACGTTATGTTTACGTTATTAAATGACGTCATTACAAACAAAGGTAGGAGACTGTATAGCCTGTTACTCACTGGTAAATTAAAGGTCACAAATATGGTTTTTAATTATGTCTTCATCTTGTTTTTATGTGTAGTAAATTGATTTTGATAAAACCAAGAATAATAAGTATACGTACTGACAGCTAAGTTTTTTTTTAGTGTAGTTCATAATTGATCACGATTGGCTTTGTGGGAGGATATTTATTTCTCATTGTTATCTTCCAGAAATTAAGGATAGATATAAGCCTCTCAATACCGTCACTATTGAATATTTTTTGATAACATTTAGATAACCCTCGACATTAGGCCAGTAGGCCTACTAGAAAGATTATACCGATCATTTCCGCACATAAATTGGCGCCTTTTTAAATAGTCTGGTAAACGTGTTTAAATAACTGAAACACGGACAGATGCATTTCGACGAAGAAATTAAGTGTAAGTAGAGTTGAAACTAACTCGACAGCATCTTTGATAAACGAGTGACGGTACTTGTCTACAATATTTAAAATTGACATTTCTATGCCGCATCGATTGAACACACTTCCAGCTAGATATAGATATGCAGTAAGTATTTTATGGCATTATTATAATAACAACAAATTTTATTAATATTGATAATAATAAAAATGATAAACATTATAGCTCCATAAAGAACACAAATATTGCATCTTCACAGGAATATAATATGGTTGTTATCGTCCTGTAACAATATAATGATTATATAATACTTCTTTTAAATATATATATTTTTTTACATCATGTAAGATTAATAATGATATAGGCCTACCGTTGCAAATCAATATTTTGGGGTGATATCTGAAGCAACAATAAAATTCGTTCATTCGTTTGTTGTTAATGATTTTATCAACATTTTGATGAAGAGACTTATCGAATCATGGTCGAACGAATTGCTTGCATTGAGTTACTCTCTTGCGACAGAAAATTATAATACTTTTTCTTCTTTTGGAACGCTTTGAGCATAATTTGGAAGTGTTGTTAAATTAAATAAAGTAAAATCATTGCCTCTTCTCGCATTTAATGCATTTAAATAGCGTGTTGCATCTTGTTGTCACATTGACTCATGCAAGCACAATGTTGGGCCAGCGTTACTGTTTACCCCTATCGATCAGTTGTTTGGCCGTCATATAGACCAATTGTCCTGCTATGACGGTACAGCAGAGTTTGCAACACCCTGCCCCAACACATTCCGTTTTACAATATCAAGTGTAACAAACTTCAACATTTTCAACACCCTGTGCCGCGCCAGCAGATAGGTTGGTTGGTTGCAAATAATAATTTTACCGGTATCATAAGTACATAGTAGGCGTAGGCCCACGGGGTCACACTATAATTAAACTCGTTTTCTTACCTCCAAAAGTTAATGAGAAACAAGAAGCAACTACAAGAAATGAAATAAACATCTTATTGGCTCTCACAGCAGCAGGTCTGCATGCATTAAAAATCCTTAAAAATAAGTAACAATTCCCCTGCTATTCGCCCGGCTTTACTGAATGCGGGATGTTTCGAAAGCGTTAATTGTATTACTTGATGAATCCAAAGGTCGGGCGTCCACAAACACGGCCTGTTGTCGATCAAATCGATAACATCTTCCGATCCGCCGTGTAAACAATATTATATTATTATTTTATTTTAAAACACCTTTACTCGTTAAATCAGTTAAGTGTGTGTATTTTAATACTGTTGTGGGTCGTTAAGTTTGAGATCGTGTATTTCTTTGTTATTAAAACAATCGGATTCGATTGATAATTATTCACAAATGAAATCCACCTGTCTCTTATACACATCTAGATGTGTATAAGAGACAGGGAGAAACCCCTACAAATATGACAATTTAGGGGTTTCAAAGGTTTATTTAATCAGTTTTGGGGTTTACAAATATGTTAAAAATACATATACATTTTTCTTCCCGTCAGTGGATGGGTGGGGGAGCTCGGGGGCCTGGTACCCACAGCCTACCACCCCTGCTGGCGCCATCCCTGCACCAGGCTTACGCCACTGCCTGCAAAAATAATATCCTCTATATCCCCTGAACATGAATCCCTTCCCATTTCTTCCTTATGGCCTCTCTCCTTCCCTTACCTCCTGATTACCTGACGATCTCTGTCACTATATCCCAAATTCGTCAAACTCCCTGGGCAAGACTTTGCTCGATTGGACCATAGAGAAAATAAATTGGACAAAATAATTGTAAATTTATTGGCAACTTCGATTTCACAATCCCTGGGCCCATCCACAACACAGCAAACAAACATGGCGGTGTTTCGGAAGGATCCGTGCGGAATCATATGCCTTATTATTACCTATTCCGCGGTATTATATGCGGATTATGTTGTAGTTCAGTGGCTTATTCTTCCAACAATGGCAATGAGGTAATTATAAATTATTTATCATCAACAGAAGTTTGTATGGTTAGGCCCGCCTAACCTAACAAACGCCAAACTGGGTGGGCTGGGCCATGATTAGGCCTAATCTGACATCAGGAGTAGCTGGCTGGGAAAGAATTCGCGCGGGTCGAAGCGCTGTGTGATGTCCTAGAGGCCTAGGCTTAACAGTCAAGAATGTTGTTCCATGAATGTGTGATAGGCCTAGAAACATGTCTATGTAGTGTGTAGTCTTACATGCTATGGATTATTAGGCCTAGCCTAATAAGCCAAATAAATATATAATAAAGACATATTACTATTAGCAAGTAGGCCTAAAATTTATCTTGATTCTTGAATGAGTTAATCCTACTCCTCTAGACTAGGCTGGCCCTTACTGAATTATCGTATCCCGTGTACAATATACATTAAAAATAATATTGAAAAAACAGTAAGCATACAAGTATTATTTACAGTGAGGGGCCTAGCCCTACCCATTATATTACAAATCTCATATTTGTGAAGCAATAATAATAATAAAGTTATTTTATTACTGTAGGGATTGTTAATGTTAGTCACTTAAAGAAACATATGTAACAACACTGTACAGATATTGTCTTATGTCACTTTTGTATAACAATTCAGGAGTAAAGCAGGCTCACAGCGAGTGATTTTTGAATAATTAATAAAAAGCGATTTTATTGGATAATGCAATTTACCGTACCTTTAGCAAACGGGAGTTAAGAATAGATACGTTATCGTATCTGTAGCAACGGCGTAAATCTATGCAGCAGATTCATAAATATGAATATTTTATGAATGTTGTCGAATCCCAACGACCGCCCTATCTAGTGTAGTTACAGGTCAGTAGGCCTGTCTGTAGTACAGTAGAGCCTAACTGTGTCTGTGTAAATGTTTATAGAGTTTGTTGCAGCATATTCTAGTAAAGGTCAACTATTATCCAGTGGCCCATATATTTAAGGTTAGGTCATAGGCTAATTTTCGGCAAAATCTGCTCTGAAATCGGCCTTTATTTTCCCAAATGCTTGGATGGATTTATAGGCCTAAGTTTTGCATGGAGGATATATTCCCCTCACAGACCTTACACTACAGTCTGGGTAAATTCTATTTGTTAAAATCTGATCATGTTGTTTTTATTTTCTTATTGCAGTGTCAGTGGTTACTTCCATGCAGTTGCATTCAACCTCATAGTGTTTCTTCTTATTACCTCTCATGTACGAGCAGTGATAGCTGATCCAGGTAGTATAAAGCAACAAAAAAATTATTAAAGTAACTGTACATTCTTTCTATGTTCACTAATGATGTGCCAGAAAGTGCTTACAAAATATCCAGTAAATCTATAAAATATGTATTTTACAAACTATAGAAGTCTCCAGAATTATATAAGACACAAAATAGAGATACAATGTCATTAAATAAGTTACATCAGTTAAAAAAGCTATGAAAGTTGTGTATAATTTTTAAAATTATTAACATCTTTAACCAGGATAATAATGGCCTAGAATTGGATGTACTCAACTGTATCAACCACCTAGATGGCGTTGCTAGGAAATAAAGGGATTTCAAATGCTGTTGTGGCATTTGTGAGGAATCTAACAAAAAATAGGTCAGCATGTTTTATTTAAATGCAATGTAAAATATATAATTATTTCTTTGCAGGAATCGTTCCATTGCCGGCAGCTGCTATTGATTTTTCTGATATGAGGTTTGGTGTAATTCCAAAGAACATTTTATCTCAGGTATACAATGTACTATTAATATTATATACAAGAGCAATAAATTGTAAACACAATAAATATTATTTAAATTGTTTTGATGCGAGTTTGCGTAAGGAAAATATCATTGTGATGTTTTGCCTTACCTGATGTGTTATTGTACCGGATACTCAGTACTGTACGTTCCTAAATACTTGCGAAAAAAATTGGAAATGATTTGGGTGGAATTGAACCCACGACTGCCAGACAATTAGCCCGACGCCATAAACACAAGACCACCAAGTTTGCGCAAAGTGACCAGCGCTGAAACCTACCCCTAAGCATCAGCAGGCACTGCAAACGGGCTAGTTGTCTGGAGGTCGTGGGTTGGATTCCCGCCCGAATCACTTGCTAATTTTTTTCGCAAATATTTGGGGACGTAGCGGGAACATTACTCCTATAATACTAAAATTGTTAAAATTGTTTTTTTTTTAAATGCTTTTTATTCGTTTGTATTGAATTGATTTATTCATAAGCACTGAATTGATATATGATTTTGCTAAGATGATCAAATAACTTCATCTACAGTATAATTTTGCTGTTAATGAACTAATACTTGCAATTTCCCAAATCTATATGTTTCCCATTTGTTTCGGGCAGGATGGTGAAAATTGGAGTATATGTCAGAAGTGCGAGGCATATCGACCACCTAGAGCACACCACTGCAGAATCTGCCAAAGGTGTATTCGTAAAATGGATCACCATTGTCCATGGTAAATGCAGATGTTAATCATTTTTGTTCTTGAATTATTTATACAGTAATCATCATAATTATCATCTTTGTCCTCATCATCATAATCATTATTATCATCACCACCATCTTCATCATCTATGTCATCTTGTGTCTACTTAGTCATCACCATCATCATCATTATTATTGTTATCATTTATTTTCATCATATCAACATCATCATCACATCAACATCATCATCATCACTATCATCATCATCATTTTAATCATTATTATCATAATCATCATCATCATTATTATCATTATAATAATTTAACCATTTCATTGCATTTATTGCATTTTCCATTCAGTAATTTTTGTATCTAATGTTGAATGTGGATGAAACACTATTCATTCACTATTTCTTTTTTTGTTGTTGTTATTTCAGGATTAATAATTGCGTTGGTGAATTTAATCAGAAATTTTTTATACAATTCTTGTTTTATGTTGGTAAGTATTCACCTACTGTATGCTTAAAAAAATGATTTGATAGTTAAACAAACATATCTCAGGCCTACACGATTGATCGCAGTGTGTGAGATGCAAAGTACAAAAACTAATCTCATTAAAGAGGGCGCACTTTATTGACTGTATAAAGTATACACAAATGTTAGAGCATTCCAGCGGATGTGATCTACAACCTCTGAATTTCTTTATTAGTGAAATTTTGTCGGGAATAGTACTTATGATTTTTCCACAGACATTATGTATTTAATTTATATAATTGATCTTACCTTCAATTGGTCATCTAAAATCTGCAGTATGTCAAAAATTATAATCTCTCGATATTTATTTAATATTTTTCCAGGTCTCGCTGCAGTTTATTCAATTGTTCTCATTATTCTATGTTGGACAACAACTTCATCTAAACACCTTAAGTTTCCTGAACACAATGCCAAAGTGTAAGTTGAAATATTATATAATATTGGTATAATTTACCAATGCATCATGAAACCATATAATGATTAAATAATTATAACATGGAATTAAGAGTACAGTATATTGATAAATTATATAATATTTATTTAAAAGCATGTACCAGGAACGGACTGAATATAATAATTTAATTATAACACACACACACAAAAAAAAAAACTAAGCAACACTAAAAGTAAAACAATAAACTCTCGTGATGACTATCAGAGCAATCTCAGTAAAGTGTTGAGAGAGGCAACTTTACCTCAAAAATCATATTTCTACACATGGTGGTGTACCAAAAGTTTGATGATTTTTGTTATTGATACTCGCCATGCAAGCCTTTGTGATGGTGCATCCATACACAAAACAGAAAATAAAGAATACAATCACGTCGATCAATGAAGAAAAAGCTGAAAGCCACTTACATTAAGAGCGCCTAGGCTAGTACAATGAAAAATAAAAGGAGAAAACATATGGCTTGGGTGTATAATACAGTACAGTGTGCATAGAAAAATGTTAACGCAAGTAAGTATATGAACAAAAGGAAGACTGTAGTCGTGTAGCCAGTTAACATGTAACTTACCTGTAATATCCCATTTGCATGAAAATTACTTATGAAGTTAAGGTGGTGGGTTCATCCTTACTGATGTGTTATACTCGCCGTTGCTATGGAAAATGCATATTTTTGGAAATTTTTTTGATGCACTCATTGGATAAGATGCTTGTGGTTATTTTAAAAATTCAATTAATGTAGAAAATCAATAAAAAATCTATTAGTGTTTGCATATGATCTTGGAGATTTAATTAGAATGAGTTATTGTGCATTTTTAAATGAATAATACAAATTTTGTTATTTAGATTTGCCTTGAAGGTTTTATTATTTTCCATTATGAAATTATAATTGTCAATCTAGCATATTATTAATATTTTTTTTTATTTCTGTGTTTTGCCAGCAGAGCACACACGATTGTTTTAATTGTGGAAAGTATTCTGTTTGGTCTGTTTGTTTGTGCAATAGGCTGTGATCAAGTAAGTAAAATTCTATGAACTCTATGTCCCTGTATTTTGGCGCTCTCTATATATTTGTGGTTTCTTTATCTTGGCGCTCTCTATATTTTTGTGTTCCATTATTTTGGTGCCCTCTGTATATTTGAAATATATAATGACATCACCAATGATTATTTTTATTTGGTGTTTCACATTAGCCATTAAGAGTTCATGGTTGGTTTTGTAAAATTGTTAAGCTCTGTCTATGCTATCAAATTTTTCTTCGACAAAAACTTTTGTATGCTTATGTGGTAGTTTAGGTTGACTGAACAAACAAGACAACGACAACCATAACGTTCCAGGTTCTTTTAATCGTCAATGTTACGAGATTCACGTTCACCAATATCAATCATCTGTCGATGTGTACACATCGACACAACAAACAAAAAAAACCCCCTGTAAGACAGCAGAATTACAGTTTCAGTACATACATCATTATTACATCATGCATTACTACACAATACCATTACATCAATTAATCATTTAACAATATTACCTAACCATTACAACATCAATGCATAGTTACATAACAATGTGCATACCTGGATTTAAACAAGAACTAACTTTGGAGAAACACAACCATCGTTAGCTGCCTACAGTACATGCCATACAACAGTATTCAATCTAGGAATGAACCATTATAATTGTTTAGCGATGTAAAGATAACGAAAATATAAAACGAGTCCAATAATACACTACAGCTTCACACAGCTGTACCATTGCGGCATGCATACCTATCATCCACTAACACCATTTCTCGGTTGCAAACACGAGAAATACTACCTACACTGATACTCGAATCAATTATAAATAAATTATTATCAAACATCGTTAAAGATATCACAATGTATAGCGTTACTGTTATCAAGGTACAATGATTAACAATTCATTAACATACCTGTAAACTTATTCTATTAAGTTTACGTTGCCAAACCGGCAAACCGTACGTAACGATGGATGTGTTCAACAGCCAGCAACCACGTGAAAACCACTATATATACCCAGACAAGCAAGATCATTACGCGCATACAGTATTACGTAACATTCAGACAGCTTAATTAAGTACCTGGATGCAATACTTCACGGTGCAATTACTACGCGCCAAGAAAGAGGTCAACACGTTTACTCACTCTTCCACACCTATATATAGTCATGATTGGCCTATAGTCTTGACATTGCTTTAGGCTACGTAAATCAAGTGACTTAAAGTAGGTCTCTTTATGTCACAGGTGGGCAAAGTGCGGCCCGACAGTGACTTTTTTGCGGCCCGCGAATATGAAATAAAAACCCTATGTGTGCGGCCCGCCAAGCAACATTGGCTAGAAAACACCTTGTTTTTTACAGCCTGACATCGATCATATGAAAAAAGTAATATTGAAACTGGGAATAAAGTGGTGTAAAAGCAGTGCTTGGAGGTTTTTAGAAGCGCACTGTGTTAAATCAGAAATTCACTTTGGCCCTCCGACTTGATTTTATGCCCACCCCTGCTTTATGTCAATATTAATTTGTACTTTTACCTCTAAAAAATAATAATAAACAAGTATTTAAATGTATAATTTATAAATGTATCCTTGGCTTTGGGCCTAAACTTGTATAAAAAAAAAAGAAAATAGTTTTGTACTGTATAAGTTTATAATTTATTATCATTGTTGGTAATTGGATATCTTTTTAATTTTCATTTCTTTATTCGACAAAAAAGTAAATACAGACATCAAATAACAAATGACAATTGTCAATTATATGAAAAAGATACTACAGATCTCCCGGATAACCCATAAAAGTCACCAAATGGCAACTCGTTTCATTATAGGTTCATTATCTTATTAATTTATAAAACTAGATTTATTTAAAAATCACTTGGTTGCAGATATCAGCCATTTTAGAAGATGAAACAGCAGTTGAACAAGTCAAGCGGAACAAGGGTTCAAGACATCAGGTTGAGAAAAGTAGAACAGAACTTTTGAAGGAAGTATTTGGAAGAGGTATGGCTGGAAAAAACTACCTGTAATCCTATTAATACACCATTATTATCATAATTATTATCATCATCATCTGTGCCAATGTCATCATCATCATCATCATCATCATCATCATCAGCAGCAGCATTGTCATCATCATCATCATTATCATTATCACAATCATTGTCATCATCATCATCACCAATATCACCAATAACCATTAAAGTACATCCTACTTGATTTAATGTTTATATATAGTTTCCATTGTACACAATAATGTTGTCTTATACTGTATATTGATTTTATAACAGGTTCAAGATTATGTTGGTTGTGTCCATTCTCAACTGGTCGTTTCCCCACTATTACTCCTCCCAACTTCACCCAAGAAGTATGATCAACCAATCATGAACAACTATTAATGCAAGTCAGCCAATCAGGTAAACAGTTGCCTTGTTAGGCTAATCTATCATTCCACAATATTTGATTCAGTCATGTGATTTGTCAAATTTTGTCAAATTGTTTAAAGTTAGCCAATTAGTAAAGAAAAATATTTTTAAGCCCTGTCCAGACTATCAAATTTTATTTGACAAAAACATGTGACATGCCTAAATATGGTCATGATGACATCACATGACCATATACAGGCACATCATGACTATATATGGGCATACAACAGTGTGGACAGAGCTTTAGGTTAAGGATCTTGTTTGTAATGTGAGTGGTTATGTTTTTCAGAACTTTCACTATCATTGTTTCTACTGAGGTTTCTATGTCCTGCATTATCTGCTAGTTAATCTGAACAGACTTTGATGACACTGTCAAAGTTTCTACTGGAACGTGACAAGGGCAATCTCAGGAATAATCTTGGTCTGCTGCGGTCAAAGGGTAGATAATAGGAAGTTGGAGAACACCACAATTCACTATGAGAATGCATATGAACTTAAAATAACTATATTCAAATCTGTTTTTGTCATTCATGCCCTTTTGATACAAATTGGTTCATGACTTGCTTATAGCCAGGCTCTGGAGGAAAAAAATATTTGGGATATGTTGTAGAATTGAATTTTCTAAGACACAAAAAGGGTTTTTGACAAAAAACTTGGGAACAGATAATGGATCCAGTGAGAAAAAAAAAATTGTGATATGCTGTACAACTGATTTTTGTAAGACACAAAAATGGTGTTTGACAAAAAAACTTGGGAACATATAATGAGGCGCAGATTTTAAAATATTTAAAACCTGGTCTTAAAGGGGCACAACCAACCTTTTTAACCGCACTTGAGTCTTCAAAAAATTTGTTTCCTCCTAAGCTTGGCTTTAAGTTGCACTGATGGTTCTCTGTTCAGAAACAACACCAATTAAGCAACTTCTCTTTTTTTTAAAATTTGTTCTCTATAATTGTTTTGGTCCCTGTGCAGTTCAACCGCAAAACGTGTCTGTATGAATTTGTTTTATCCACATCGAAAGAGAGGAGGACAAGTCTGCAAGGCAACATATGTATATCATCATGATCACTCCAGTCTGTTTTTATTCTGGTGGTCCGATTCAGATAATAATTAGTACTAAAACATATTGTGACCAAAGTATGATCTCTTCGTTAGTATTGAGTAAAAAAAAATGTTTTTCTTTCTTTCTTTCATGGAAATATTAGAATCTTTAATAATTAGTAGAATTTTGATGAAAAGTTGTAGGGTCTTCTGTGAGTGTGCGTGCCTTAGATATGTGTGTGCGTGCTTCAGGTGTATGTTCATGCATCGTGTGTGTGCGCCTCATATGTATGTGTGTGCCCCACATGTGTGTGCGTGCCTCAGATGTATGTGCGTGTCTCAGATGTACAGTATGTGTGTGCCTCAGATGTATGTGTGTGCCTCTGGTGTATGTGCGTGCCTCAGACATGTGTGTGTTTCACACGTATGTGCGTGCCTCAGACATATGTGCTTGACTCAGATATATGTGTGTGCTTCACATGAATGTGCGTGCCTCATTTGTACAAAGGTAAACAAAACGTGCCTATATGATTATAATCATCTGATGAATTTATATAGTTGCAATGACATATTTGGGACCATGGGATGTATTTTAGGGCCATTTATAGTTTGATGCAAGTATTCCAAGACCATGTAAAATCCCTGATCTCTACTATAATAGCTGGATGGCTCATCGGCCAATCATGGTACAGTAAAAACTGAAACATAAACGTCTCATGTGTTTTAAGGAGTGGAGTTGTTTATGATCGTGAGTAGAAATCATGTTGCCGTGACGGGAATTGAACCCAGGACCCTTGGATTGGAAGGCAAACTAATTAACTCCACTCCCCATTTATAAAGTGATATTTCAAGTTATGCGAAAATATTTTATATAATTTAAGCAATTTGTAATCATGCAAGGTTTAGGGATCATGTGATTTAATTTTAGTTGGTGTGAATACTGTGATTTTACTAATTCTAATGTCTAGCTAGAAAACTGTGTTATTCCGCATATCAGTTTATGATTATGACTTTGAATCTACTGTATATGGACCAAGTGACTTAAATTTGCTTTAAGAATGTTTAATCGAAAAGCTGCATAAAATAAGCTACATTAGTGCTGCACAATTATCATTTTTTGCCATCATTATAATCGTCGTCATCGTCGTCGTCATCATCATAATCACCAACACCACCTCAACTATCAGCATCATCATCTTCATTATCATCATCACCATCACCACATCATCATCATAACCGTCATCATCTTCTTCTTATAGTCATCATCATCATGATCCTCTTTATTTATCTTCATTTTCATCGTCATTGTCATCCACTACAATTATCACCATTATTATAATTAAATATTTATGGTTTAAAATTTTTTAGTGTTTGTGTAAAATAGCAATAGCAAGCAATTCTTAAATTATATTATATTAACATTATTTAATTCTTATGTTTTATAGATTGAAATTGTATTTGATTTTGACTAACATGGTATCAATAATTTTTATCATTAATTAATTAAACTATATTTAGTGTGTACATATCTGTAAAAAATAAAAGTTAGGATGGGAACTAACAGGTTGATGTACATATTTTTATATCACTTCTTGTTTATATTTAGTATGATACTGTATAATCTATATGGTAATATAATACAGTAATTTATTATTCTAAATGTGGAATATTTGTTTTAAAATGAAATTTTTTTGTTTTAAGAAGTAAAAATAACACCAAAGAATTCATAATCCTGACTTTTATCATAAATTCATAATTATGTTTAGAAAATAAAAAGTAATATTGTATATTAATCATAATAATGACGGATTATGTAGATCTTTGTACTATGTCATACATAATATTATTGTTTTTGAAAATGAAAGACGAATTAAAAGGCATTTGTCCTTCTAAATGAAAATATTGCATTAATTCTGTTGGTTGATAATATTCCCCCATGAGGGCGCTTTTTTAAACATACTCAGTGTTTTTGTCTGCATATAAATCTGATATGAGCCTTGGTGGTACCTAACATCATTTTTGTTATATTTTTTCACTCATACCGTAGTGGGCTAAACTAGGTATTGGCTTTGGACCAAAGTAGCCAAGCTCCCCCACCCCCGCCCCCTGCCGTCTTGTTTTAATTGATGACCAGAAATGGCACTCGGGTCATTCTTTTGCTCGAACAAGCATAGCCCTTTCTTTTGTGGTTGCCATCATAAAAAGTACTAACCAAAGTTCAATTGGTTCCTCCGCGTGTTTCTCATCTCATTAAAATACATTCAGATCTTAAAATATAATATCAGGCAGCCGTGTATGCCATTCATGAGGAGCCCTATAAAACGGCTAAAGAAAATCAATTATTATTTTCGCCGACTTTATGACCATATTGCCTCAATACCTTATGGAAATTCACTATTGGCAGAATAAATAATTAAAATGAAATGTCAACAACCTTCTGAATAACAGTGCCGACGTGAGGGTAGCAGTTAAAATGTATGAGTAATGCTTTTTGATTTTTGATGGACAGGGAAAAGTTAAATACTCTATACATTTAATTAGATTTCTTTAATTGACCTTGCTCCTCAAGTAGCAAGCTAGAGCTTGGAAAATTGATGGAGGGTTGTGATAAGGGGTTAAATTGTAGAGACGCTGTTGGAGCTAATTATATATTCTATCACATTCATGGCAACAGAAGCTACAAAAATGAAAATATACGGCCCGCTATCTACTTTTTCACAGGCTTGTTTATGCAAATACACCAAATTAGGTCAGTAGTAATTGCTCAGGGAAGACATTCATGCAATTGTAGTATCCGAAATATCGGTTCATGCGTGCCAGTAGCGTAGGAGTATTGGCATGAGGTGGGGGATGAATGTTAAAATGGGGGAAGGTTGAAATAAATTAAATTAAATTAAGGTGACTTATAAGTAATTTTCCAGTGGGGGAATCACCTGTAGCGTGGGTAGGCGGGGGCGGCGGTAAGGGAACTTTTTTGGTGGGGGTAATGGCACTCGGGTATTGGGGAGGTGCTTCAATGAACACGACACCGATGCGTGCGTAATGCACAATGTTTTTCAAATATCCCATTCGTTATTGTACAAAAATGACCGGAGTTTACACAAAAAGTTACAATACGTTATTGCTTATACATACATAGGCCTATCTATAGTCTTTAACTCGCTTTGTATGTTGATGCATTATTTAATATGATGTATTGTATGTAAGAAATTTACATTTTGCATATGTAATTTAATCAAATCATGACATTTCTTTTGTATTTATCTAATGTGAAGGATAACTTTTTTTAGTATGAATCGTTAATATCAAACGTAGATTTCCCAAGAGTTTTATTTAATACTAGTCTCATCCGTGACAACCTTCTCTAATTATATTGTAAATTGTATAATATAAAAATATATATAAATATATATATATTTATATAAGTAGGTCTATATAAATAATTAAAATCAATTGTATAACCAATTAAAGTAATAATAATTATATATTGGATTAATACAGTATTGATAATTATTATATAATTATATATTTTTTTAATACTAAAAATAATTTCCAATTATTATATATACTGATTGTCACCTTGTTCCATAATGTAGGCCGAAGGGGAGTTTTATATATACAACAGCATTTTGATTCCAAAGCTTGTGATCCTATGACACTGCATTGTGGTGAAAAGTTACAAATGTGGAGGAGAACAAAGGCAATGTTTTCACATTTACTGAAGACAAAATAATTAATATTTACAAGTTATGTAAATGTAAACAATGTATTATTACTACAGAAAAATAATAATCATCGCTGTCACAAAAGGGCGCCACCAAGAATGAGCATTACCGTCACTAGAAGAACAACTGGCCGGACACAAACACCTGTGTAAAAAAATAATGTATACATTTTAATGTCTAAACATTTTGTTTACCTCTCAATTGAAAGGAGCATTTTAATTGATATTCTTGGTATGTTTTCTTCAAAAAATTAGAACAGTGGGCAATTAAAATGGCTGGTAATCAATTAGATTTTAGTAAAGTCAGTTTAATATGATACGCCCTCTTTTTTTAAGAATTTGACGACAAGACGGGATCTCCGAAGAGAGATACTTTTTTAATTAAGAAATCATGATATAATAGAGGTAAACTTTATACCGGTATTGCTATAAATATATATAAATAATGTTGATGAATCTGCGGGTGTGGAAATAGTGGTGTCCAGTGCCGTAACGAACTCAGCAAAACTTGATTCTTTTAATAGACTTAGGGCAATTCAATATTTTAATTATACTTCTTAGAATTTTCTAGATTTTTTCCGTTACCTATTCATTCTAATGCAGTTGTGTTCAGTTACCTTAGCTTCTCTGGGAGAGAGTAAGTTTATTAATTAAGAATAAAAACATGGCTAAACTTACCCGAGGAACCGCCATCACCGATGAACGCTATAAAAAAAAAAGGAAAAAAAAGCAAAGATAAGAAATAAGAATTAGAGGCTTAGTCAGTGGACGGGTCACATGTTTAATTTCTGTCACGACACGACACGCATAGAAACATCGTATAATGCGTTATAAATGATTCATTAAATGATTGATAGATAGATTGATTTGTTTGATGGTTGATTAGTTGATTAATGATTGATTGATTGATTAAAACGATTTTTCCGGGATTAAATCCACCATTTCCGGGATTAAATCCACCATTTCCGGGATTAAATCCACCATTTCCGGGATTAAATCCACCATTTCCGGGATTAAAACCACCAGTTCCAGGATTAAAGCCACCGGTTCCGGGACCAGTACCACCGGTACCGGGATTGAAGCCACCGGTACCGGGATTGAAGCCACCGGTTCCGGGACCAGTACCACCGGTACCGGGATTGAAGCCACCGGTTCCGGGACCAGTACCACCGGTACCGGGATTGAAGCCACCGGTTCCGGGACCAGCACCACCGGTACCGGGATTGAAGCCACCGGTTCCGGGACCAGCACCACCGGCACCGGGATTGAAGCCACCGGTTCCGGGATTAACTCCTCCAGTTCCTGGACCAACTCCACCGGTTCCTGGATTAAAGCCACCTGTACCGGGACCAGCACCGCCAGCTCCAGGATTAAAGCCACCAGTTCCTGGGTTAAAGCCACCAGTTCCCGGGTTAAAGCCACCAGTTCCCGGGTTAAAGCCACCAGTTCCCGGGTTTGTACCACCGGTTCCAGTACCGCCACCAGTTCCCGGTCTTCCACCAGTTCCGGTTCCACCGGCACCACCTGGTCTGACATTTACCGTACGTACGTTAATTCTTGGGTAGGTTGGTCGTGCGTTTGGTGGTCTTGTTGGTTGTTGGGGTGGCTGTACGGCAGCTTTGTTAAAAAGAAACAAATGCGGTTTAAGGAGGTAGAAAGACGCATATCGGATTTAGGTTTTTTTCCTATGACAAATTTTAATTAAGAAAATCATATTAATTCATATAATGTATTAAGTATGAGGGAGATATTACTGTATAACTAGTTATTTTAATATGACAAGACCCTGAATAATATTGAAATTGTCCCAAAATGAATAATACAGTATTAAGTCTTACATCGTGTTACTTTGAGAGTTGCCTCAGCCGACACTGGATGGTAGCCCGGTTCAGTTACTTCGCAAATGTAAGTACCACTGTCTTTCATTTCGACAGCTCTGATGACCATGTTGGCCTGACTATATGGTTCAAAGCTCATACGATCAAATCCAACGCTGTTCGAAACACGTCCGTTCCGTTTCGTTATCACGTTCGTTTTCCTATAAGTACCAGGTATAGTCTTGGACCACGCTATGTCCACATTAGGAACGTATGGAGAGTATGAACAGAGAAGTATAGCATTTTTTCCGACTGAAACAGGTTGCTTTGGTCCGCTAGCGAACAGTTGGAGTCCATTCCCATACTCTGTAAACCGTAACAAAAGATCAAATTTAAATAGACGTAAATATTAAGTATTAAGACACGTAGGCCTATTATTAATCACTTTATTAAGTTTCCATAAGTTATTGGTTTACATACAATCGCTACACGCTATCGCCGAATCGATTGGATCAAAACCAAGGTATTGATAATATAAAAAATTTAATAAAATATGAAAAGGCAAAAACTTACGCACAAACTATAGAGACACATTTCGTGCCAATAGATTGTGCTTTGTCATGAAAAAAAATAATAATAACAAAAAAAAAACGTATCCTCCTTTGTACGTTTGTGCATCTGCCGGGGACGGCATACCGAGACATATAGGATTACTTTTTGTAAATATTCTGTAGACCCCTACTAAGACGTTTTGACACAGTAATGTACAGCATTTTTATATCAAACACCCATGATTGAAATGGTTTTCACATCATAATTTCTAAGTGACGCCTACATAAAAAAGAAATATGCTTATAGACAATGAAGGCTCAACATTTTTTTATTTTATTTTTGGCAATCATGACTTAAATTTATGCCGACCCGAAAAAGATATCGGAATGTTTGGACCAGAAATTGATGAAAATTTATTGGAAATCCCCATTTAACGCGGTTAAGATTTAGGTCAGATGTCATCTAATGTAATTTGAAGTCATTTTGTAGGCCAATGTATTAGGCCTACAGTGCTTATGCCCAACAACAAGTAGGCCTACTTTCACTGTTTTAATGCTACGCACATACAAGTTTAACTTGTCTATCAAACGATACCTACTTTAATATACTAAACTACGAAATTAATATTTTTATTCCAAACAAAATCATTTTAGCAAAAATTTTAATTCGAATATATAGTCGAATATTCGCATGGGGAATGATGAGGGGAGTGCGTAGATTAAGTCGTAGAGGATATGCTCGACGATTAAGGAGGTTAACTGGCAAAATAAGGTGGGAACTTCAGTTATTTGGTGCCTGAAAAGGCCCTTCACTTATAACCCCATAACTCGTCACTGGCCACAAAGCACAGCTCCTCTCCCTTCAAATTATTATGCAGACCGACAGTGTAGAAACTATTCCAGAGTTTAAGTTTTCGTGAAAGTGCCAACAAAACGTCAAAAGGGATATGTCATTTCACAATTATTAAATGACGCTCAGGTTAAAGGAATGAGTATATAACCCCAGTGGACTGTTCCATTCGGAGACGGGATAGCCTGACACTAAGCGTCTAATTGACCCTAGTTTATACTTTTTATATGATATTTATACATTGAGGCTCTGTCAGTATCTGATTTAAGCTCATGCTTATTTTGAACTTATTGCACGAAATCTGAACTTTTAGGAATGAATTTTATTACGAGCACTGAAATGCATATTATTGAGTCATTTTATGATATATTGTAGGCCAGTAATATCAGGCATTTTTCTTCCTTCATTTATATGGCGCCCATTCCAAAAAATAAGACCAAAGGTGCAACGCATGTGAATAGTCACCGGAAAAGATATAGGTATTAAGTTGTGACTTAAAGTTGCAAAGAAAGTTAGAAGTTATGTTATTTGGAAGGTGGTTCTAAAAAAGGCAGAAATATAAGTGAAAGAACATTGACCGGAGTTTTTGGTACGGTACTTGGTGACAGACAAAAAGTTTTGAGTGGAAGAGCGGAGACGGCGAGATGGAGTAGCCTATATTAGGAAGCATTGAGCGCAAATATGATGGTTCATTCAGATGGAGAGCTTTAAGTCATAATAAGTAATTTAATTATAACAGGTTGTCTGATTGAATGAATAAATACATTTAAGCAATATAGGAGTAACACCGGTACATATACGGGCAGCGTTGTTTTGAACTCCAGGGGTGCTTAACATTTTCAGGTCATAAAGGTAGCCTCGAATTAGTGGGTGTTGCAGATATGTACAAACCATAAAAGAGAAAGGATATTATAATACATACTCGAAATGTATCGAAAGTATCGAAATGCACGCCATTTTTGGATAAAAGAGAAAGTTTGTGACAATCACGCGACATTCGCGTGTCAATGATGTGATGTTTCCGGAATTTCATTGTTGAAATTAAGAAGATTAGAGCAAATCTCGACAACAAAATGTATGCAGGCATATGAATGGATTCCATTTTAATAAAGTATTTTTAGCAGTTAAAAGTTTTACTTTAATACCCCGGACTTTGTAATATTTAATGTATTTTGTCGTCTGCAATAGAATGTATTATTGAATTGAATTGAATTTGTCATGAAGCTGTTTCCCCTTATCGCTGTTTCATTACGATGCGTTGCAAGTCCGTCTCTTGCGCGATCAACGAAAAGTTTTACAAGTTTTCCTTCGGATATGGTACAGGGTGACCACTGGGGATACTCGGCAAAAAAGGAAAAATAGTGAAGAAGAGAAAAGAAATGAGAAAGGGAAGCACGGTATTCCAAAACAATCTAATTTTCGATTTAAATTCCATGTCTATGGTCAAGCATTTCTAAACAAAAATCTCAAACATCAACATCCCACCCTCCCCCATTCAGTGCTACACACGTCGCAACCGACCCCTACCACATTTTTTTCTGGATCCGCCCCTGTGGCACACTGTCGCTTTATTAATTTGATAGTAACTTGCTAAATTCTGTCAAAAAAAAAAAAAAAAAACTACCGGTAGTTCAACAGACTTTTAAAAATATGCGTATTTGGAAAAAAATGTCGTTCTTCCAATATCTGCCGCATATTATTTTATAATTATTTTTTTTTATTATTAAACGCATTATCAGGTGCAACTGTTAATTAGCGGATTGTTTTAATTACTGTTTTGTGATAACTGGTGAAAATATGTATCCAACATAATCTTCAAAGTTAGGCCTAACAACGAAATATGCTACTTGTTTTGAGCATTGCAACCGAGGGTTTGCTATAATAGTTTACAAAAGTTTACTGAGGTGCAATACTAAGACTAACAATGCAGAATATATTGACTTACCGATTATTATCACTAAGAGCGTAAGAATCACTATTTGTCTATTCCGCGTAACGCAACTCAAAAACGACATTTTCCTTTTAAAGTTTGCAATAAATAGGTGTAACAAGTACCGTAACTTGCAAGAGTGTTCCCGGGTTCGTGACGGGACTTTCTTTGGCTTGTCACAGCCTTTAGGATGCAGGCATTCGACTGCAAATTAAAGCCAACCGGCAAATTAGCGTGAGCAATACAGGAAACATATCATGACTCAGATGGATAGAAATATACTTAGTATTCGGTTTTTTTTTATAAGACCTACATTTTTAAAGCAAAACAATTACAAGGCATCAAAATATAAATAAAGAAACCCAATAAAAAAAAACCCCCGAAAACTAAGCGAATAGATATATAGTTTAAAGCTTTAAAAAGTATTTTAAGTTCAGATTTAAGGCGTTTGTATCAATTCACGATCTTGCTAACACTAGGAGATAGAGCACGACACACCCTTTACAGGTTACGCTACACTCCAATTAATATAATTAGGTATATCGGTGAGAGTAGATACCCAATTAGATCACTTTGTTCAGTCTAATAACGTCCTTCCGACAAAACGGTCACGTTACCAGTTGCCTTAAATTTGTGATTCAGCTTTTTATAGATTAAAAAGGTCAGTGAATTCTTGAAGATGATGGTCAGTTGACTAGACATCGGAAAACGCCCTTTTACGCGAGTCTTAAGTAATCTCGAGAGAAGGATTCCTTTTTGAAATATTTGTTTATGACTGTACAAATTCCAAATTAGTACAAGTTGTGTTTAAAGTTTGCAATGTATATTAATATTACGAATGTCTGTTCCACATAGACACTAAATGTTTCAGTGAGCTTATGTATCCAGATGCTTGGATATAAACGTATTTAATAGGCCTACACTATTGAAGAGCCGTGTGTCTGCACACTACACGACTACCCAGTGATGGTGTGTCTACAGGTCTGTGGACCGTACCATCAGCATCACCTCCCTCATATTAGTAATTCGTAGATACTCCACTGCCGCTGCCAACATGTTCAGGCTATATACAATCCAATCAAATCCATTCAGAACATTTGTAAAGCGCCTTTCTTTGCAGATACGAAGCGCTGCACCCCACGTATTTAGGCACCTCCCAACCCACAAGCAGCCGTGATCATTGCTTAACCCAAGCACAGAACGAGTAAACAAATCAAAAGAAGCAGTGGCAAAGTTTGGAATCATAAATAAATAATGCAACAATAAATAAAATAAGAATAAAAATGGGATAATTAGTTAATATGTTTTTTTTTTCTTTCTCACAACAAAAGTAGACATAATATAACATTTGAAAAAAAAATGCTCTAACATTAGAGGAATTAACTGCTGGAGAATTAACAATGGTCACTGAGCTGCGTTATCCCTGTCTAATGTCAACGCATTGCTATATCATTGCACAGCAACACAAAATAGTAGCAAACCACATAGGTGATTAGGCCTAGTCAAGCCAGTATAATGCCGGATTGCACACGGTCCATTAATAAGGTTAATTGCAAACGTTGGTATTCAATTTGCTCGACTATTAAAGTTTGTTATAACAATAATTAGGTCTATTATCTAATATCCATATTTTCAGTATATCCTGCGTCTCGTGATGCAACAGTAATTGTATAAAGACACACCAAGGCGAATTATACAAATGAACCTGGATTTTATTTAATGAAAAGATTACAGCAATTTGAGCATTATCTGTTACTTATGATTTGAATCAAAGTGAAGCTCATTAAAAACGTGGAAAATTCGATATACATATCTGTGCTTAAACGCCTGTTTACACTATGACGATAACGATTGATAAAAAGTTAAAAAGCAAATGTTCATATTTAAAATGAAATAATTAAGAGAAGTTTTCACTCACACGATTCGATAACGATTTATCTTGTATACGATAAAAAAATATTTTCACAAATCAAATCAAATTACGTCATAGTCATGGGAAAACGATAAAATCGTACAGTAGTAGTAAAAACAGATGTCTGTACAGATAAATTTTATTTGACAAAATCATGCGACATGCCTAAATATTGTCATGATGACATCACATCATGACCATATATAGGCACATAAAGGCTATATATGGGCATACAACTGTGTGTGGACAGAGATTAAGCATATCGTTCGGTTAATAGAGCATCATGATTCACATCCTTTGATTTAGCATCAAGCGATTTGTGATAAATTACCTTTGTTTAGACAAGTGACTCAGTAGCGTTCACACTTGAGCCGCAGAGGGCGTGATTACAAGGCTATCACCTGGCTATCACCATCATCATTGTTCACATTTAGGAATTATACAGCGGCCTCACCTTCTCTTTTTTTTTCAATGTGAAGGTGACTACCCTAAAATCAGCCCATTTTATTGTAAAATTATACAGAGGAAAACTATTTTGCATAATGCAAGGGCAATGCAAAAGGATAATGCAATAATATATGAAACACTCAACAACATGAAAAGCGTTTATACAAGCAATTATTCGAGCTTATGTTTTGATTAAGTTTACTTTTTTTATAATAATTATAATCATAGTAATATTATTTGTATTAATAATAATAATGATAAATAATAATAATAATAATAATAATAATAATAATAATACAATCTTGATTTTATAACGGATATTCATTCACTGAGAAAGTACTCGTTCATGAAGCTTAACTGACATAGGCCTATGCCTTTTAAAATTATATCACTTATTATAAGTCACATTTTAACATTTGCTATCATACAACATAGATTATCTCAGCTTTTTAAATTTTAACACTACCTATAAACGTTACTCTTCATTTTAACGGCTTATAAATACACACTTAATATGACAATAAATTTATTTTTGTTCGTTTACTTAATTATTACGATAATGACGGGAGTAATTGTTGTAACGTCTAAAATGAATTATATGTGGCTACATATCCGTTCTGACCGATTGCGATTTGATTACTGCTATAAATTAAAGGTCTCTTCGCATGAATCATAGCATACTTACAGGAGTATAGGCTATACTTGGTTGATTGAATATAGGAACTGTCGCCTAGATGGCCTAACCATTCTCTTTAACTACAGACGGTACTCTAACAATAGTCTAAATTGTTTGTTGTGTCTGCATTAGGGACGAGGACAGGGGAGGAGAGGCAGGATTACAACGATGATATTATAATAGGGTATAATGAATGATAATGATAATGACGAGAAGGATCATAATCATCATGGTTTAAGATTAGGATTCAAAATAAATTTATTGCAAAAGAAATTGGAAATATACGATGATGATGAAGATGATGATAATGATAATGATAATGATATTAGACGACAATAATGATAATGATGATGATGAAGATGATAATAATGATGATGATAAAGATGATGATAATGATGATGATGAGAATGATGATAAAGTTAAAGATTATGATGATGTCGATGAAGATATTGATAAATATCTTATAATAACTATTTTAATAATTATTATTTTAGTAAGACTTGGCTAAAATTGTAGAAAATACTAATCCAAATAAGATTAATCGACTTTGGTCTAGTCCATTCCGTTTATCCATCCGTCATTCTCTTGGTTATATACCATTTACAACAGATACCTTATAATCAATATTTGCAATTTATGTATTTCTACAATGTCACAATTAATTTAAATTTGACTCCATTATTCGTCGCCGTCGCCTGTTGGGTTAGAGCAGTTAGAGACGCAGAGCGCGCCCTCGCACGTTGCTAACATCTTCAAATGGCAACTCCTCCCATTTTACAATTAAAAACCAAAGTAGTATGAAAACGGTAGGAACATCGCGGCATGTTTCTCAGTCCATCTACATGATTTTGTCTACGGTCTCGGAATTAATAGCGAATAATGCGAAATACGCGCTGTATCTACTCGTGTAGCATCCAGGACTCAATAACGTTCAGTGGGCCTTCGTTGTTGTGAACGGGAATTCGTCGAAAATGGCGCATGTAATGTAAGTGGAAACATTTCTTTTTCGACTATCGAATTAGTAGAAAGGTTGTATAATAATGTGGTATAACGTTCGACAATATCATATTTTACATACGCGCAAAAATGTCCCATGACTTAGTG